TCTCAGGGGGGGCACGCGTAGAGGGGGGCGGGGGGGCGCGGCCCCCCCCCTCGTACGCCCCTGCTTAAAAGAGCTAATTTCAAGCAAAAAATTATTCCAGATTTTCCTATTGGAAATTTCGAATTTGAATTGTGGGTTCTCAAAAGTGGCTTGCAGATTTTGAGCAACAAAGACAAAGAACATAATTTACTGAATTCAACTGGGAAACGACGATATTTTTCCCCTTATTGTTAGATTCATGATTACTATTTTAAGCGTATACTAATTCTTTTGAGATATCTTAAACACAAATAAATTTGAGAATGTTCATTGTTCAACGCCAAAGTAATGCATGAATCATTTTATGGAAGTAATTACTGTAGATACATTCAGAGATGACTTCTCATATCAGTGATCGATTTTCTCATTTCTTATTCATTCAAGAATGAATTCTTTACCTGGTTTAAATGAATTAAAGAAATAATTTGTTAATCTTGTCAACTAATCTTTTGATATGGTTGGGCTTCATATCAATTGAAGATCCATGAAAGTGGCAGAATATAATNTATATGCCTCGTCCCTTGCTTTCTTTGTTCGTTTCCTTTAAATGTCAAAACGGCTGGTCTGATAAGGTATGCCTTTTTTTCGGGGAAAAAATGACGATTTTTTTATGAAATTTAAAATTATAAGCTAGCAGAGAAATCCAAAATTTAAATTTTTAGTGTTTTATACTATAGCGCATAACAGTTTAAAGGCAAGAAAGAGCGGTGAAACTTAGATTTTAGAAAATTAAGATTAAAAATGTGTTTTTTATTATTAGGTGTAATTAGTTCTGTTAAAGGTAGCACAGTGATTGACAAGGTAAAATATTGAATAAATGTTTCGCCATATTAAAATGGAGTGGACTTGGTTATTAATTTGAAACAAAAAAGGTTCCTGCAGAATATACATTTCTTCAATAAAAGTAAAACTAGCAAAAACACCTTGCGTTGCCCGTGACTTGACCATCACTCATCAGTCTTTAAATTGTTTGGTCGCTAATGAGGACAACTGTGACACAGCTTAAAGTAAAAGTCAACAAATCGAAAGTGCATACTGCATAGGTTCTATTGGTGATGTCAAACCTTGAAAGCAATTGTTTTTAACTTCAAGTGACCCTCCATGCAAAGATTGCAATGCCCGATTTACAAAGTTATCCTTAAAAGCTTTGTCTGATCAAGCATTAATTAGATAATCATGTTTTTGTTTATTTTCATTTGTGGGTTTTCTGCAAAAGTGACTTGATTACTTATTGCTAATAAGAAACAATGAAAAATTAGCAGAATGGAACCCTTTTTGAGCCAAAAAACGCGGTATCTTTCACATTTTTGATCATTTTAAGATGTATTTCTCTTTATTTTGAACTTTCTTAAAAGTTAACTGTGCATCTTAATGAAATTTTCACATTTTGTTAACTCATTTTTAGTTTTTACCGAATACTACTACAGTCAATCATCCGATTTGATTTGTAAAAATTAGAGAAATATATGAATTTAAAAAAATAAAAAATGATAATGAAATAAATTTACTCTAGAATATTGGGATGGAAAAGATCCCACAATGGTTTCCAGGTTCGAGATTAAACTATGCTGAAAACTTACTCAGGTATTTTTTTCTTAATAATCCATTTTGAACATAGTTAAATTTTCTAAAACTAAAACAGTTAAATAAGTCATTGATGGTCGTATTTTCCTTAATACATTATAGGGCCCAATTGAATAGAAAGTCAATTTTCAAACAATCTAATGTGTTTTCAATGCTTTTATCAAGCAAATAGTTTTACCAGTAGTTTGACAATTAGCTTATGAAGTCAGATGGGTCTGTGAACACAATTCTTTAGGTTTCCCCAAAATAGAGATAACTAGACCTAGTGAGCATTTTTTTTGTAATATTTGGGGAAGGATTTTTCCATTAGCGGGGGGGGGGGGGGTCAACATTTTCCAACGAATTCCTTCCCTACTTATTTTTGTTTGTTGAAACCAGATATCCTGAGGACTCTAAGATTGCTCTATACTCTGCTACGGAGAGGAAAGGAAAAGAGGAAATAAAAACTCAAACCTTTGGTCAGCTCAGAGATAGAGTAGCCAGATATGCTGCAGGTAAATGTTAACTGTAGACCCTCCATTTGCAAAGGGGCAGGTGTAATTCTCAACGCTTTGTATGATCAAGCGTGTACGAGATTTCAGTCATGTTCTATTTGGAAATAATTTTTTTTGGGCTCCCCTATTTAGTGACTTGGGCATTTATGCTTCAGAAACAATAGAGAAAATGTTTGAAATTAACACTTTTTAAAAACAAACCTTTAGAGCGTAATTTCTATTTTGTGAACTATCGAAAATCTAATCATTTTTTTTTAAATTGGTCATATTTTATTTTTTATGTGGATAATACAGGATGTCCCGCATCATATTAGACCGAGAATGGGTCTGAATTACGATTTTCGGGACTAATCAGAAAATTTAAGAAGAATGAATCATTTAAAAAATTTAAAAAGGCTAATAGAAAATTTTGTTGGCAGAAAATGCTAGATTTTTCGCGTATTATGTGCGTATTTTGGCGTTATAAAGATTGTTGATAATCTAATATGATATGGGACGCTCTGTAATTATACAGCAAAAAAATGGGCTTTTAAAACCTTATCTTTAGTAAAATTTGGCATGCGTATAGCACAAAAAGTTTTCAAAGTTTTTAACGAAGAATTAAACTTTAAGATCATTAAGGGGTATTTCTGAAACTTGGATTAGATTTAATGACGAGAAGTAATTAAACTTGTTAGGCAACTTCTTATGTGCGTTGATTCAAGTTCAAGAGAAGTACTTCAACGTCACTGTGGTTCAACTATTTTGCGCAATTCATTAAATTTTGTTCATCTTCTAAAAAAATAATGGTGTCAAGCATGGGCGTGCCCTTTATAACCCATAATTTTCTAAAAAAAAATGTATTCCAGATTTTTTTGAAAGTTTATTGAGTTTTATCTTTATACTTTTGACCAGGTTTAAAGGCATGTGGAGTGAAAAAGGGTGATCGTGTGGTTGGTTATATACCAAACTGTCCTGAAGCCATAGAAGCTATGGCAGCAACAGCGGCTATAGGTTAGTTTGTTAACCNCTACAAAAGGTTTCTGTATTGGGCGCACCGATAAAGAATATGTGAAAGTTATTCTATTAATTAATTTGTTGTTATTTTTATTTTCTAAGGATCAACTAAGCAATTTCTATGTTAATATATTTTAGATAATGTTACCATTGTTAAAAAGTATTCAATTAGATTTGTTTTTAATTTTTAGTGATTTTGAGTATTTATTTATGATTGAGCTTTAAAAATCAAAATATCACTTTTCAGAATTTGTCCTAAAAATAATTTTTTCTTGTTTTAGGAGCTGTTTGGAGTTCTACCTCTCCAGATTTTGGAGTCTCTGGAGTTCTGGATCGATTCACACAGATTCAACCAAAGGTACTTTTAACGGATGTTAAGACACTAATTCAGTTGAATAAATTACGACGGCTAGTTCAACTATTTCTATTGTGCACATAAACCAAAAAAAATAACCACATCTTAAATTAAAGTTAATCTTTGTGGCACTAAATTAACTTTCTCTTGTCCGTAAATGTCAATCTTGGAATAGCGTTTTTTTTTTTCAAAAATAGGTGGATAGGTGGAAGGATGGAAGGATGGAAGGATGGAAGGATGGATCTGACTTGATTCTGAATATTTAACTGCTTAAAATGAATCTATTTATTTCAATACATTTTATCTCTTACCCTAACGCCTCCTCAAGAATTTCATTGGCTACCTCAAACTTTGCATCAAAGACCCCCAACTTTAAATTGGAGACTCCCAAGTTTTTTAGCCGAGGCTCAAGACTTTCAGATTTTTATTTAAGTCTCCAAGCTTGTTAACAGGACTTCCAGGTTTCTATCAAAGACTCCAAGCTCTTATAGCAGAAACCCTAAGAATCCAGATTTTAATTGGAGAATCCAAGTTTTATATTGGAGACCCTTATGGATACAACTCAAGAGTTTTAATAATGTCGTATTCTCAACCTATTCAAGATCAAATGCCGCGAAAATAACGAGTTTAATATATAAATTACTGTCCTGCATATTTCAGGGCTATTAGTTTACCTTGAAATAAAAATAAAAAGTAGTTTCTTAAGAATTATCAAAATATTATCATTCTCAACAAGGATATTTGATATATTTTCATAAATCTTGTATTCAACCATTTGAAACTGCAAACATCTGAGCAGCTTTCTTCATGTGCAGATGAAGCAAGATGTTTATTAGCACTGGATTTCCAAGATATGTATTAGCACTTGCGCACATAGTGTGCCTAACCCCGTTGGTGATTTTAATCACCCGAACTGGGATGACTTTAAGATGAAATACCATTGATTGATTTATTAATGTTAGAGAGGTTGAGATAGATAAATCTGGAGTACGGAACTCAATGTTCCTGGACGAGTTCCTTGACTTAGGATTGAACCAGGACGGTACCGTCCCACAGCTGCAGTATGAACAGGTAAATGGAGCTGATTGGGAAGTTTAAATCTTTAAATATTTGATATATTTCTTACTTTAATTTATTCTATGTATTCCTCCTACTGATGATAAACAATACATTGGTTTGCTTTAAAAAACTTTTAAGGGTTAGGGGTAATTATTAACTGATAAAAGGTTCTTAGCAAAGACGTCGCTAATAGTAAAGAAATACGCGTCAGAAAATTTACACAAATCTTAATCATTTTTGGTATAATAAAACTTATAAAAAATGTCGTCTTCTTTAATAATTCAAAACATTTTGCTCCCTTGAAGTCGTCTTTTGGCATTGTTTAAAAAGAGCTAATTTCAAGCAAAAAATTGTTCCAGATTTTCCTATCTGAAAATTTCGAATTTAAATTGTGGGTTCTCAAAAGTGGGTTGCAGATTTTGAGCAACAACGACAAAGAACTGAATTCAACTGGAAAACGACGATATTTTTCCCCTTATTGTTAGATTCATGATAATATTTTAAGCATATAATATTTCATTTGAGATGTTCATTGTTCAACGCCAAAGTAATGCATGAATCATTTTAAGGAAGTATTTACTGTAGATACATTCAGAGATGACTTCTAATATATCAGTGATCGATTTTCTCATTTCTTATTCATTCAAGAATGAATTCTTTACCTGGTTTAAATGAATTAAAGAAATAACTTGTTAATCTTGTCAACTAATCTTCTGATATGGTTGGGCTTCATATCAATTGAAGATCCATGAAATTGGCAGAATATAATCTTATAAAGTCATTCGGCAATATACATGTAGCTCTGAATTCATGATAAATATTCATTTAATTGTTCTTATTTCTTTGTTTCGCCATTTTAAGATTCTCTAAAATTGAGTTGAAAAAACGGATATTGTTTCATGAAGGGGTTGATGCAATAATTTTATGCGGGGGAAAAATGAAAAATTTTACATTAAAAGTTTTTACATCCTTTTTTATATTTTTACACATAAATTCAGCAATTAAAACCCTGAAACTTGTTATGGCGCTCCGCCCAACTTTACTTAACTTCTGTGAAAAAAAATATTTTTGGGTGATATGATTAAAAAAGAAAAGTTGGACATCAAAAGGCAAGTTTTAATCTTTTCTAATTCTTGTCTAAAAAATTCAGCAATTAAATACTAAATTGTTTTAATACCTAAACTGAACTTCTGTAGAAAAAAATATTTTTGATGAACTCGGGTACTCCTTTCAATACTTTATACCCAAAAAATGTTCACCATGAGGTTGCAAATATATAGGGATACAAAAGTTGGAGGCGAATAATCATTTATCTTTTTTTTCCCAGGTCCCTTTTAACCACCCGCTCTTTATCATGTACAGTAGTGGAACTACAGGTAATATTCTAGTTATTCAGATTATTAGATTCAGTACAGGGTGTCCCAATAAACATGGGAAATCAGTGACGAATTCGATATCGTCTTTTTAAATAATTATTTGATTTAGTATAGTGATACCTACTGAGAAAGCTGTAATCTGTAAGAGTTTCGTCTGCTATGTTCACATGTTGTTTGTTTATGTTTTGACTGCATACGGTTGTACTTGGTAAAACAAGAAAATTACAGAATACAAAAAGAGTAAACTTGTCCGCGCGTCTTCACTGTTCATCTTGCGGAGACATTATAGACACATCTTTACAGTCTTTTACCCTTTTCATTAAATAAACTCTAGCAGACATAATAATATTATGGCTTTTGTAATTAGGTATTTCAGTGCTAATTCTTAACAAAGACGATATCGAATTCGTCTCTGAATTCCCATGTTTTTGGGACACCTTGTATTATAGTAATGTACTCCCAAATTTCGTTTTTTTATTTATTCGAAATTTTTGGCCTACAATTTCAATCAGGGTCTGAGACAACTTTTTGCCTAGGTAAATTAAACTAAACTTTTAAAGAATATAATTTTGAAATGTTAAATCCTTTCAGGTTTTTATGGAACTGAGGTCCAAAATTATTTTTTCAAATTAAGAAATATATCTTGAAGGAGCGATCCTAAATGTATTACATTATCTTGTAGGAGCTCCTAAATGTATGGTCCATTCTGTTGGAGGAACCCTTCTCAAGCATCTGGAGGAGCATATTGTGCAAGGGAACCGGTAAATTTGCCTCGTCCTCTCGTAGTTTTTCTTTTTTTCTTTGTTATTTTTGAAACGAAACAATCGGTTTTCAAAAAAGTGGAAACGATCCATCCCAGTCAGAGGTTAGGTAGGCGGGCGATATATAGTATAATCACTTTAATGACAAAATAAAACTCTTCAAACAGCAGGATCTGTAGTTTCAATTCATTCTTCTGTATCTTGCATTTCTTAATTATTAAAAATCAAAGGAAATTCAACAAGTTGTTGTTTAAGTATGTTACGGTAAAATGAAAACAAACTTTTTGCCACTCCTTAAAAACTTCTTAGACTTATAGAGGTAGCACACATGATGTGAACTTGACAAGGTACCAACATTTAAAAATAGTGTTCTGCATAAGTTTCCTTTTTTAAGCTATGCAAAGTTTGAGAGAAAATATAGAAGATAGATGAACCAAAAAAAAACTATTGTTTTGGTTCGTATTGTCATTAGCATTGTGTTCAGAAAGCAAATGTTTAGAATAAACAATTATGAAAAATTGTTAAACTTCCAGATTTTTGTCCAAAAACATGAAAAGAACTGACACAAGTTGTAGCCCATTGAGGTCTGTTCTCATTGATTGGCTTAGATATTTTTTTATATTTTTGTATTTTAGAAGTACTGAGGATACCTTGATGTACTACACAACAACAGGGTGGATGATGTGGAACTGGGAGGTAAATAAATCCATACCAGAGCCTAGATTCTAAGTTCTGACCCAATTTTAATTTTTGGCCATAAAAACAAAAAGAATTTTATCCTGTTATTTTTACCTACAATTTCAAGACCTCGGGTTTAAAAAGATTTTCCTATTGATACCGAGGTGTCTGTATATTTATAACTTTAGAATATACTAAGAAGAAATAAAAGCCATTGAAAAACAACTTTTCCTTAAAAATTAGACCAGAACTGAAAATTGCAAATTTTCTTATTAAAATTTTGCAAATTTTCTGTTATTCAGCCAAATAATATTTATAAAATTTTAGAATTTGATATCTTTGGTATTATTACTTTCATGGTTGTTTTTTTAATCGTCATCTTTATTTGCTTAGGTGACAGCTCTAGCCGCTGGTTGCAGTTTAGTATTATACGATGGTTCACCTCTTCATCCACACACAGGTATTTAGAGGACGCATAAAACTGTACAATACAGGTATTATAGGAAGACGACCATTTCACCCACACAGAGGTATTAAGAGGACATATAAAACTGTTCAAAAGGGCCTCTTCCTTCACACACAGGTATTTGAAGAACTCTTAGAACTGTTTAATAGACAATAGACCTCTTCTACCCATCTTCTACCACACACAAGTATGTAAACTTTGTAGAAGACTCATAAGACTGTTAAAAAGGAAGACGACTATTACACCAACGCACAGATATATACAGGATTCAGAAAACTGTTATTAGGAAAACAACCACTACACCCACAAGAAGATTTGATGTAGAAAGCTCAAAAAACTGGCATAATGAGAACGACTGTTTTACACTATTCCGACAAAAAATATTGAAGTTTGCAAAAATATGAGTTGTTTAAGGGGTTGGCGGAAAAAATGAAGTAAAAGAAAAAAGGGGAAAAGGGAAGGGGAAAGGGGGAGAGGGAAAAGGAAAGGAAAAATGAGGAAAAATAAGGAAAAATAAGGAAAAGTGAGAAAAAGGCGGAAATTATTTTTATTTAATAGTTTTGGTTTACACAGTGAACCAAGTAACACAATTATTGGGAAATATTTCATATTTTTTCTTTCAATAGCAATGTCATGTTTTCCGCTTTAAAAAGCTAGTCTGTTACAGTGCACAGTCTTGACTGAAAAAATCCCCCCCCCTCATCGTGCGCTTCACTGCTAAGAAATTTTACAATTAAGGATTCGCTAAATAATTTAAAAATTTTATTTTTTTATTTTCAGGGGGCCTGGTTATTGACCTATTTAGGGCACCATTTTTGCATTATGCATTTAAAATCCAAACATCTGCGTCGCAGCTTTTGAAGTTTACGAGGGCTGCCAAACCCTATTAAAAAAACACCAGTTTTCAAGTTTTTTCTTTGGGTGACAAAATAATTTGAAAGGGGGGGATGAGTCTCAGAACTAATGTATACAAGATACACCAATGGATTTCGAATAGCCTAGTGAAAATGTTCACGAAACACAGCAATTCTGCAATTTAAACTGGCCAATTTTGCTATTAACAAGTTTGTTTTTAAAGGACTGTAATGATAATTTCATGTGAAAGAGGGCCAGCCCGATTCACCGCGGTAACCATGTACGACCTATTTTTATCTGAACATGAATTTCAAGATTTTGTCTTTTTTTCGGCAAATAGGAGAATTCCGAACGTTACTTTTATGTAGTAAACACAAATAAAAATAACAATCTTATTCTATTTTCTCCAGCTGTCATGTGGGATATAGTAGACGAGTGTGGAGTGACTGTATTCGGTACATCAGCAAAATGGATTGCTGTCCAAGAGGAACGTCATCTACAACCAAGAACTTCACATAGTCTTAAAACTTTAAAAGTAAGCGTTAAAAAATTCTAACAAAGAAAAAGTCTTACGATACCTTCTCATAGTCTTAAAACTTTAAAAGTAAGCCTTAAAAACTTCTAAGATAGAAGAAGTCTTAAAAACTTAGAACTTAATATAGGCTAAAACTTTAAAAGTAAGCCTAAAAACTTTGGACTAAGAAGAACTCATACTCAGTCCTATAGTTTGAAAACTTAGCACTTATCACACTCATTGACCTAAACTTTCATGTCAAGTAAGATCTTTCATTTTGATACTTTTGACACCCAGAGTCTAAAACTAAAGAACGAAAAGTTTTGACTTAAATTTTAAGTTCATGGTTAAATGCCACTTCTGACTTAATTTAAACCTGAACTTTAACCGTGAGGTTAAATATTTAACCCTGTGGTTAAATATTTAACTCGCCTAAATCGACTTTACGTTATATTTAAAAGTGAAAACCTTGTTAAAGAAATTTCACGTTTTAGATTAATTAATTTTTGCATGTAAACCCAAAATACGGTTGTAACTCGAAAAATGTTTTGTTTTCCGTTACGTAATCAGCTGATTAGGGATGGTTATGTAATATTCTCCGTAAATCCTTTTCTCTGATTGGTTCAGATTTTCCCGGGAAATTCAAATTTAAAATTGAGAACGTTTAATATTTAAGTAGCTATTCATTATTTTACAGAACTTTTAACCTCGAACTTAAAATTCGCGCATTCTTTAGTTTTAGACTCAGAAGTGTATTTATTTTCCCCTAAAATATTTATTTAAAAAATATTTAAAACCTGCATTTATCAATATATCATTCGACTTCGAATTAGTTAATTTCTTAATTGAAGTTTTTCTCTTTTTTCAGGCAATTTGTTCGACTGGGTCTCCCCTCGTACCACACTCTTATGATTACGTTTACAGGTACATACAAATTTAGCAATTGTACAGTGTACACTGTAAAGCGTACGTTATGTAACAAACATCCATATTTTTACGAAAAAGAATCTTTTAATATCTATTTGTTTGTTGGGTGGGAATTTTTACATTTTGGTAATTCTTAACAGTTGTGTGGAGAAAATTTAAGAGTTTTTTCTAGAAAAGTTTTTAAGAAATATTTCTCTAAAGCTTTGACAAAAAAATAAAGTAAATTAAAGTAAATAATTGTTCCAATGCTAAATAAATTTTTGAGGTCTCAAAAAAAATTATTTTTAACTTTGAAAACAATCTTGAATAGTTTTTTATTTCATAATGATTTGAAAAATACATTGTTTCAGGGAAATCAAAGCAGATGTGCTTCTGGCCTCCATTTCTGGTGAGTAGATGATGCAAATAAAATTTTTATTTTTGTGATTCATCAGTTGAAATATGGATTTCACCAAAATACAGAAAATGTTGAGCATTTCGTAATATTTATTTTTGTGGCGCAAATTTTGCATTTTTGCACTTACGTGAAAGTCTAGATATTTTCTCAAATTGTGTTTCTGTAAACCGAATTTTCCCCCACACCATCATGCAACGATTCCTGCAAAACAAGCAATAAGTTAAGTGATTCAATAAGTGAAAAATTGGCCTTATTTGGGATTCAGGCGATAAGTCATATTCTTAGCATTTTGTAGCTATTGTTTCTGCACACATTCGGTACATTTTGAAAGTTAAAATTTTTTATATATTTTTCTGTTTTCATTGGCTAATTTTACCAACTTTTCCAAAGTCGAATAAACCTTCCATGTAGTCATTAAAGTCTGAACGGTTCAGCCGTTTTGAAGTTTATTGGATACAAACAGACAAACTAAATTTGTATATATTTGACAAAAGACTATGCCTGCCGCCTGCGCCAGGTTTCAAATCCCTTGGGTTTACTGGGGATCGTGATGACGTACCCCTTTTAGTCTGCTTCTTGATTTGATTTGATTTCTTTAGGTGGAACCGATATTATTGCCTGCTTCATGGGTGAGAATTCTGTACTGCCTGTATTCAAGGGAGAGATACAGAGCCCCCACCTAGGTAAGGGTTCCATCTATGATTATTCTTGTTTAATATTGTACAATGAACATTGTACAGTGTACACCCAAAAAAAGCACAAAAAATCTGTCTTAAAAAGTGTCTTAACCCTTCAAATCTGCCTTAAAAAGTATCTTTGTCCATAAAATCTGTTTTAACAAATATTTTTGGCTTAAATGTGTGTATTTTAGCCCATCAAATCTGTCCTAGAAGTATTTTAGTCAATCAAATCTGCCTTAAATCTGCTGTAATTCATAATTATATAGACCATCAAATTTTTTCTAAAAAGTATTTTAGTCCATCAAATCCGTCTTAAATATAGATAGATAGATAGATACAATCCGTTTTAAATAGTATTTTAGTCTATTAAATCTGTCTTTAATGGTATTTTAGTGCCTTAAATGGTATTTTAGTGCATCAAATCTGTCTTAAATAGTATTTTAGTCCTTCAAATCTGTTTTTAAAATCTATTAAATCTGCCTTAAATCTCAGTATTGTGCATCAAATCTGTCTTAAATAGAATTTTAGTCCTTCAAATCTGTTATAAAAAGCAGGCAAATTTGTCTGAAACATGAGTATTTGATTCAATCAAATCTGCCTTAAATATTATTATAGTCATGAAGTCTGCTATTTATAGTATCTTAGTCCATCAAATCTATGTTAAATGGTATTTTAGTCCATCAAATCTACCTCAAACAGTATCATCAAACCTGTCTGAAATAGTATTTTAGTCCATTAATAATATCGTAGTCCATCAATTCTACTGTTAATATTATCTTAGTCCATCAATTCTTCTGTATGTCAGTCCATCCCATTAGCTATTAATAGTATCTTTGTCCAACAAATCTGCTGTTCATTGTATTTTAGTCAATCAGATCTATCTTAAAAGTATCTTAGTCCAAAAAATCTGCCACAAAGTGAAGTCTTAAGATGAACTTCTAACCTAGGCTGCAGTATACAAGCTTGGGATGATCTGGGAGAGAGAGTTGAGGTAAAGTTGTAATTTTTCATACTAAACAGTATTTTTGTAATCTTTGTGAAGACGACCTGAAACCCTAAAAATAATGTGAAGGTTGAATTTTGGTATTTTCCTTAAAGAGAGAAATCGGCTTGGTAACATATTAGAACCGAGAGTGCATATTAGAACCGAGAGTGTTGTATTATAGAGAAATATTTATGGATTCATTTGAAAACCATGAGGCATTTTTACAGTGTATAATTTCGAAGTAAAATTGTAAATTACTTTGTAAAATTACTTTGTAGATTTTTTTAATTCAACAACCTGGACCAAAAGTCTAGCAAAAATTCTACAGTTAACTATAACTAATTTGTTGTTAAGGAACATACAGGGTGTTCCACAAAACATGACAGTTGGTAAATAGTTTCAAAAGTCGTGTTCCATAATTTTTTAATTTTCTAATACCAAAGAGAATGATAAAAAAATTTGTATGGCAATTATATATACTAAAATTTCATTTCAAAGAAAAATATATTTGAGTAAAAAGTTGTTTAACGAAATTAACTGCAGAAAGTCTTTAATATTTTATACAGTATATGAAAGAAGACATTCAAAACTATTCAAAACTGTCATGTTTCCTGGGACACCCTGTATTTCTCAACAGAAGAAATCAATGGTAGAATCAATTATTTCTTCATCATCATATTGAAATTTGGATTCTTTATCAATTTTTTTTGTAGCTTTTATTTTCTCAACCTGTTTTTAAATAACAAGTTAGTTAACAGTAGAATTTGTGTTACAATTTTCGTCCTGGTTATTAAATAATTGTAAAACCATTCCTTCTGGTGAAATTTTACAAACGAAATTATGCTCTAACTTAAAAAGTAGATACCGTAAAACTGTCTCATTGTTATAAAAAAAATACAATTCATAGTAAAGGCATTTATTTATTTATTTATTTAGTGAACAAAGAAACAAATTTAGACACATTCAGTCGTCTTTGAAGTCTAGTTCTTAGTAAGAAATCATGTCCTACAATTTTTTTATTTAAGCTACAGTGAAACCCTTGATAACGAATACATCGGAAGAATTTATCAAATGTCGTCTTGATAATTTTTTCAATGAGTTTTATACTATATTACGTAAATTTCAGTATTTGCGAAAATAAATAAATATCCATGAATATGCGGGAACAGTTTTAAAGAGTTCCATATAATCATTTAATTAAAAAACTTAATATCTGCAACATTCCATTATCAGACAGTGAAGAATACGGCATTTGATGAATTCTTTCGATGTATTCGTTATTAAGGGTTTCACTGTAGTTAAAACAATTGTCCAAGTTGATATTTATGCCAGGGAGTGTCGGGAGAGTTAGTGTGTACAGTCCCTTTTCCATCAATGCCCACAAGGTGAGGTTTTGTATTGCACCCAAAAATTAAACCATCCCGTATGTACAGAGTGTCCAACGAAACATGACAGTAGCTAGACTTCCTACGGGTCGTCTTTGATTTTGGAAATATTTTCGAATGCCGCAAATAATTTTAAAGATCTAAGACGACCTTTTTGTCGTCTTTCTATCGTAAAGTTTTCTGGTTCACTTTGTATTATCCTTTTGTTTCTTTAAAAAGGAACTTGAACTGTTCCTGAATTTGTTTTATTATTTATAATTTTATATAATGATTTAAGGTTTTGGAATGATGAAGACGGAGCTAAATATCATTCTGCATATTTTGACAAGTTCCCAGGCGTCTGGTCACACGGAGATTATATTTATATTAATCCCAAAACTAAGGGATTCCTCATGCTAGGTAAACATGATTAAATAGATGGTGTATCTTTTGACCTCTACGCATCATCCGCTAGTCTACACTTCCGACATACTAGCACGTGGTTTTTACAGTTACTAGTTGGTCATTTGGAATAAATAGTTAAGCAAAGCAAGTAACAAGTTTTCAGCTTTAGGCCTCGTTTTCAATTAATAATTTTAGCTTCATACTGTTGCGCTTGAACTTTTCAAGTTGTAATTTTTGTATTTTTCTGTTTCAATTGGTGCATTTTCAAAAATTATATTATTTGACTTTTTTTTGGCAAATGTTTTCAACTTTGACTGCCATTATAAACCTTTACTGGGGTCATGTGATTTGTCATAACAAATTTGGTCCTGATTGATTGGCGTTTATTGAAAACAGACAAAACAGTCAGACACCCAGACAAACACCAATACCGACGTCAGACAGACAAGCCAAAGGAATTGAGTCTTGCCACAAACTCTGATTTTCTAATCCCGTCATCTTTGCAACCCAAAGTTTAGACTTTAATTATTTAAATTGTGAATTTTGTTAGATACACTAGTCTAAGTTGAAATATCCAAGATTTTCACCATCAGGTTGCAAAGGTATAAGGATTAGAAAATTTGAGTTTGTCGCAAAGACTCTATTCTTTTATATATTGATAAAACTGGATGAGTTATGTGCACTGTGCTGTCGTCTATGAAGTCTCATCCTGTGTGTGTAACCCTTTAGATTATTGACAAGGAGGGCTGGAAAATGAAAACTTTGAAACCCAGATGTTCAGTATAAAGGACTTAAATCTCCTGATATTGGAATCTAATGGCAAATACAAACATTTCTGATAATTTGCAGGCCAAATCTCAGTATTAATTCACTTCAGGGTTGAGATTTGATTTGATTTGATTTAGTTTGATTTAGGTAGATTTTATGGTACCTCTTGATCCCTAGTGGAGTAAGATTTGGCTTGACTTAAGTAGATCAAATTGTACCACCCTGCTTCCTGAACCCTAGTGGAGTAGGGTTTGGTTTTGCTTTAGGTAGATCAGATGGCACCCTGAACCTTATAATTGTAAGGTTTGATATGATTTAGGTAGATCAGGCGGTACCCTGATTCCTAGTGGAGTAAGGTTTGGTTTGATTTAGGTATATCAGATGGCACCCTGAACCTTATTATTGTAAGATTTGATTTGATTTAGGTAGATCAGACGGTACCCTGATTCCTAGTGGAGTAAGGTTTGATTTGATTTAGGCAGATCAGACGGCACCCTGAACCCTAGTGGAGTAAGGTTTGATTTGATTTAGGCAGATCAGACGGCACCCTGAACCCTAGTGGAGTAAGGTTTGGTTCTGCTGAAATCTACAATATTGTTGAACAGTTTCCAGAGGTATGTTTAAATGTTCAAGTGTTTTTCATTATGAATGAAATTTTTTTTTTAAAATTTTGAACGAATCATTAAATCAAAATTTGTATAGTTACCAGGCTTTAAGGGCGCGTCGCGCGCTCAACTTCCAGCAACAATTTTTTCATTTAAATGTTGCTGTTCAAGCTGCTATTTATACTTTGTAATGGTAAAAATGAAAATTTGCAGATTTTTTGCAAAAATTTTAAACTTATAACATTTTTAAAATCGACATTTTTTCCTAGCAAAATTGTTCACTTTTTATTCTGAAAAACAAAATTAGCTTTATGAGAGCAAACTAATTTGGTCATTTTTATAAATGGTAACACGGTTCCCAACTGGAGTAAAATTTTCCGCTAAACATTTTACATTTTTCACGCTTCCTTTAAGTTTACAATGTTCTTAAATTTTGCGAACTATGGTAAAATTCTCTTAATACCCATTGGAGTGTTAAATTATTTTTCAAGAAAATAAATACCAATGTTTAATACTGGCATAATGTTTAGATCAGTGATAGCCTGTGTGTTGGGCAGCGTTCTCCTGATGGTCTTGAAGAACGGGTTCTTCTGTTCCTCAAACTCCAGGTCGGGGATTAGGAATTAGGATTAGGATTAATCTGGGTGAGCATTGTTCTACCTGTACATTTTAAACATGCCTCATGAAATCTACCACAAATAGTATATTAGTTCATGAAATCTGTAAGAAATATTAGTTTAGTAAAAAGAAATTACCACAAATATTCCATGAACTGTCGTTGTAATTTCAAATTACCCTTCATTTAAAGAGGGCAATGCCCGATTTGCAATGGAACCTTTTAAACCTTTATTTAAGCAATGATGGCAAAGATATTGTCGCTTTTCTAGGGTTAAAAGTAGAAATGCGCTTCCCTTTATATATTGTAAATTAACAATTATTATTGTAAAAATTATTTATTATATTGTAAATTAACAATTATAAACATTGATATAAAATTTAAGCTATAAAGGTACCATTGTAAATCCGACAAGCCACGTATGGAGGGTCACATAAAGTTACGTCTAAAAAATGGTTTAATAAAGACCTACTCCAGGTTCCACTAGGACCAGTGCTGGTTGATAAACTTAGGAAAACTATTAGATCCCAACTCTCAGCCAGGTAATGTCTAGGTTTACAGTCCATACACTCTACACGTGAAAAAAAATATATATGAAATTTTTAGTGGAATAAAAGGAGATCCTTATTTCAATTATCCAAACGTGTCGATTTCGGTATCTAAAATTGCACTTACAACAACTAAATAGTTGATATTTTGAAAATTGTCCGATATAAGGCAAAAAAAAACTTTTATTTTTTATTTCAGGTCTGATACAAATTTTCGTTTTATTTGTAAACTTTTAATGATTTAATTACGATTGCAGCGTTTTTGGCTCTAAGTGCAAATGCATCTTTATGATAACCGTTAAAATAGATATATGGCAACATTTTTTTGTTTTTAATTAGTGATACCTAAAAATGGAGCAAGTTGGGGTATCTGGAATTTTTCTACACACCAATAACTATTTCCTAGAGTTGAAAGTTGCCCCTCAGTTCACCGCAGTCATAACTTATTAAAAAAATTTAAATCGTTAGTTTAAAAATGTTCTGAGAAAGTAAAAATTAAAATGTTTTTTTTTAATTATTTTTTCTCAAAATATTTTTTTTAATTATTTTTTCTCAAAATGTTTTTTAGCTTCCGTCTAATGAAGAGAAAGAAGAACCTTGTAACTTTATCTTATTTTATCAGCCCCAAGAAGAAGTTGTGAACTTTTCAGCTAACAATTTAATTTAAAAAATCATGAATTTGTTTCCCTATACATGCCAAATAAAGGGTGGAAACATGATCTTTTTTGACTTTTAAAATCAAATTTTTTTTCCCCAGACATACCGTTTAAGTATATGTCATGAAATGCAGTGGAAAATAAACTTTTTAAAAATAAGTTTTTTTTCCGATTTTTAACACTACAGCGACAGACAGCGAAAACTGAAGTTCATTAAATTTGGTCCCTAGAGTTACTTTTAAGTTTGATTTTAGTTCTAGCTTGAATATGAAGAGGAGTCAGAATCAAGAAGCATTTGAACTAGGTTTAGATTGTAGGTTTAGATGTTATATCCTCTGATTTATCTATAAGTTTAAATTTTTACAAATTGATTAATTAGACATGTTCCCGCCTTGATTCTCCAGATTGAAGATATTCCCTACACGATAAACGGGAAGAAGGTGGAGCTTGCTGTAAAGAAGGTTCTAGCAGGACAAAAGGTCAGTAGTAATATTTATATTTAGGCTTTTGCACGCAATTCTGTGCAAAGCACCTGTAAAAAGTAAGACATTTTGTAATATCTCTTTAAATATTAATAGCAGCCGGTTCTATTTTTTAATGTAGACTCATAAAATTCATAATCTTGGATCCTCTGAAAAATGACCTACGTCGGCTCCGTTTTTTATCTCCAGCCTGGTTGGACATAAATAGCCAAATTTTTTAATTTGTACTCCCAATGACCCCCAGAATACACAAAAAAAAAACATAGAAAATAATTCCTCAAGTTTTTGATGTCAAAACAGGGTGTCAAAAATTGCGTTTTTAAATTTAAAAAATTTGTTTTTTTTTTAAATACCAAAAGTGACAAGTTCTGATTAAAAATATAGGACTAAAAGAAAACAGAAAATATTATTTAAATTATTATCTAACACATCGATGAAAAAAAATTTCAAAAAATTATTTTTTGGGGGGCTATGGGGTGTTGATATTTTTTTTTGACAAATCACACTTCTTTTGCATTTGCCTCCCTAATATAGACAATGGCTGGTTCTAATTTAAAATTTAATGTTTTATAATTGCCTAGGAGCAGGATATGAAGTCAGATTGTTGATATATTTTCTGCAGACATGGAACCTCTTTAAGGACTTTAAGTGGCCTCCGTCGGCTCCGATTTTTCATCACCGGCTCCATTTACAAATAATTGAGAAAATAATCTTATAATTAAACGGTGTTTTAGAAATCGATCATTTCGTCAATAATTCATATACTTAATCAACCAATAATCCCGTTTAAAAATCATGATCTTTTTTATCAATTATTCATTTTTTTTATTATTCCATCATCGAATTTATCCATTAATCATCTTGTTTTTCAATCAACCAGTTATCAATCAATCTTTTGGTTAATAAATCAATCATTCTGTTGATCAATCAGTTATGTGGTTTATTAATCTATTATTGAATTTATCAATCACTCATTCAGTTTGTCAATAAATTACCTAGATAATCAATAAACCATGTGGTTAGTAATCAATCCTTTGGGTTATCGATCTATCATCAGGGTTATCAATATATTAACTGGGTTATCAATCAATCACTTAGTTATTAATCAATCATCCAGGTTATCAATAAATCAACTTGTTTATCAGTCAATCATCCGTTTTATAGATCAATCATCCGGTTTATCGAATAATCATCCAGTATGTAAATCAATCATTAGGTTTATTATTCAATTCTCAAATTAATAAATCAATCATCCAGTTTATCTGTAATCTTATGGTTATCAATCTGCAATCTTCCAGTTCATCAATCAATCATCCGGTTTAACAATCAATCATACAGTTATTTGTTTTTTAAATAATAATCTTGTTATCGGTCAATAATTTGGTTCATCAATCAATCTTTTTTTTATCAATCATTATCATTATATGTGCTTATGTTATGTAGGCAAAGAGAATAGAATATATATTAGAGTGGAATTTAGAAAATCCCTCGGAATGAATTTTATCAGTCCCTTTCAGCCTTAAAGGGAGTTCAAAGTGTACACCTTTCAGCCTGAAAGGAAGTTCAAAGTGTACAAATCATGTAAATGTTCACAAAATATATGCAGTAGAGTACATTAATACAATATGTTCCCTAGGCTATTAATTTCAATTTCGAATTTTTTAAAGCTGTTAAATAAACTTTATAAAATGAATAAGGTGAATAAAAAACATCATTTGATTTAAAGTTATAACGGAAAATGATCGTATGTAATGTGAAATGATCATTGGTCAATAATTGGTCATAATTTGGTTTTCTTAAAATATTAATTTTAGATTTTCTATAAAATGATTTTCCATGGCCCAAAAGGTTATATAGCACAAATATGTGAAGTACACCTGCAGTATGGAAAAAGTACAACAAAATGGCCCTTTTACACTTTTTTCTAGTAAATACCACTCTAATATATATTTTATTCAAACTCTGTACGCTAGAACATCTGTATGGACAAGCTATCTTAAAAACTTTAGAATTTCTTTATTTTTTATAGTGTATTCTAGAGATCATCAAAAGGATATATTAAAAAAAATGATGTCCAACGAGGCCGGAGATGAAATAATTGGAGCCGGCGGAGGTTATAAGTCTTGGGGAAAAGATATCGCAATCTCACTTCATATCCTGCTCCTAGGCAATTATACAACATTAATTTTTAAATCAGAACCGGCCACCGTCTATATAAGGGACGAAAATGCCAAAAAAATGTGATCTGGCATAAAAAAAAATTTAACACCCAGTAGCCCGAAAAAAAAAATTTAAAATTTTTGAAATTTTGTTTTCACCAGTGTGTTGAATAATAATTTAATAATTATGTTGTTTTGTTTTACTCCTATATTTTTGATCATAAAATATTTTTAAAAACCGTAATTTTTGACACAGGAATTTTTTTCTCTATTTGATGATTTATTTTAAGGTGTCTAACCTTGGAGCTCTTGGGAACCCTGAATCCTTAAAACTTTATGAGAATATTCCAGAAACTAAACAGTGGTAGACCAGTACAAGTTGCACAGCATAACTTTTAACCTGTACTTGGAATGCACAATTAAGATGTTTAGCAAATTTTGTAAACTGAAGGTAGAGGGTGACAGGGTTTGTGTATAGTTTACAGATATCATTAGCTTTTAAATTGTCTGACAAATTATTAAAATGTTGACTAGTAGACTAACAGCAGTCGAAATCTTTGCCAGTTGTGAACAAAGTTTATAAAAAAAGATCTGGGGGAAAATGAAAAATTGAACATCAAGAGGTTATTTTTTCAATAATTTTTGATGCTTCTAACCAAAAGAAAAATTTTCTTACCTAAATTTGTTTCCTATGTTTTTTTCCCCTAAAATTTATTTATTGTCTCCTAAAAATCACCTCAATTATTCGAACAAACTCTTAAAAACAAATTTCGGCTCTCCGCACAAACACTTTTGGGGGAAATTTTTTTCAAAATTGGGGTGGGGGAACTTTGATGAAATATAATTATATTGTGCATTTAATAGTTACTTATTTTTATTGTTAAAGATTGTTCATTTAATAATTATTTTATTGTTAAAGATTGTTAAAAATAAGCTTAATTTCCATAGAAATAAAAGGGAAAAAAGTTTTAACTAAAGAATGTTTATGTAATTTTTGTTATTTGGAAGCGATAAATAAGTATTTTATTTCTAATATTTTTCAAATTTCTTTTAAAATTTTTTTTTATGTCATATGTCATATGTCGCATCTGTTAAATATTAAATCTGTAAATTGTTTTACTTGTCAGTAGTCTCATCCATAAAATTGTCTTTAAACCCAACATTCATACCCAGCTTTTATCAACATTCATATACATATAGAACTAAAATTTTATATCAGGATACCCATATCAGTTATCCATCCTTTAACATTTGTATCCATCCTGTATTGTCATTCAAATCCATCCTCAAATCCATCCTGTATTGTCATTCAAATCCATCTAGTAACATAACAAGCTTCAAATTTGACCTGTATTAACATCATATCCATCCTTTGTCAACATTTATATCAAACGACGTAAACACCAATTCTATCCATTCTGATCAACATTTGTATCCATCCTCTAGCATTCATATCCATATTGTATCGACATTTGGATCCAACCTTTATCAACATTTGTATCCATCGTTCAACATTCATATTCATCCTTAACATTCGTATCCAGCCTGGATCAACAATCAAATCCAACTTGTGTAAAATTTATAATCCATTCTGAACATTTGTATCCATCATGTACCAACATTTTTATTTATCTTTAGTACATTTGAATCCAACCTACATCAACATTCGTATCCAGCCTTCCATCCTGATCCAATCAACATTCATATCCATCTTCAACATTTGTATCAATCCAGTATCGACATTTAAATATATCCAATTTAGCGTCATTTGAATCCAAACTATTTCAACATTCATATCTATACTTAACATTTTTATCCAGCCTGGATCAACAATCAAATCCAACCTGTGTCAAATTCATAATCCCTTCTCAACATTCGTATCAATCCTTTAACAACATTTGAATATATCTTTAGCGACATTTGCATCCATCCTTTAACATTCGTATTCATCCTTAATATTCGTATCCAGCCTGGATCAACAATCAAATCAAACCTGTGTCAAATTCATAATCCCTTCTCAACATTCGTATCAATCCTTTAACAACATTTGAAGATATCTTTAGCGACATTTGCATCCATCCTTTAACATTCGTATCCATCCTTAATATTTGTATCCAGCCTGGATCAACAATCAAATCAAATGTTTCAAATTCATAATCCATCTTCAACATTTGTATCGATCCTGTATTGACATTTGAATATATTTTTTGCACATTTGAATCCAACCTACATCAACATTCGTTTACATGCCTCCATACTGATCCAATCAACATTCGTATCCATCCTCAACATTCCTATCTATCCTGTATCGACATTTGTATCCAACCTGATTTAACATTTGTATCCATCCTGTATTAACATTTGTATCCATCCTGAATCAACATTTAAATATTTCTTTAGCGACATTTGAACCCAACCTATATATCCGTATTCTTATCCATCCTTAGCATTCATATTCAGCCTGGATTAACAATCAAATCCAACCTGCGTCAAATTTTAAATCCATTCTCAACATTTGTAACCATCCAGCATCGAATTTGAATATATCTTCAGGAACATTTGAACTTAACCTATATAATCATTTGTATACATCCTTAGCATTCATATCCAGCCTGGATCAACAATCAAATTCAACCTGTGTCAAATTTAAAATCTATTTTTAACATTCGTATCCATCCAGTATCAACATTTGAATATATCTTTAGGAACATTTGAATCCAATCTATATCTAAATTTGTATCCATCCTTTTATATTTGTATCCATCCTTTAAAATTTGTATTCATCCTTTAAAATTAGTATTCATCCTTAACATTTGTATCCAGCTTAGATCAAAAATCAAATCCAACATGTGTCAAATTCATAATCTATTTTCAACATTTATATCCATCCAGTATAACCATTCCAATATATCTTTAGACATTTGAATCCAACCTATATCAACATTAATATCATTGTATCCACCGAAACTAGTAGGAAGCAAGCTGTTTAAGCTTCATTAAGTTAAAAATCTTGGCATGACATTTATTCATGACACCTGTAAAAAGTGGAGAAAATTCATCCCCCCCCCCCTCCCACCATAGCCAAACCCAACCGTAACGCAGAAGCCGCTCTGTCATTTTCTTTTTCGATGTCGCTCATTCCTAAGGTTTCCAATCGCAATAGCATTGATCTCAAACGATGTGCAACAATACGCAATGGTTGCTTCCTTTTGTGCATTGGGATTGCATGCAATATTGACATTTTTGCGCATTGATGCACAATTGTGCAAAATATTACCATTGCAAATATGAAATTTTGCTCTTTTGCGTATTGGTACTGTTGTCCTTGTGAAGAACCTGGCGGCCTGGTCCCATTTAATAAAAATATGTTTAAGGATTAGATCAGGGCTCGTTTTCAAAGTTATAACAATTAAAAAATTGTCAATGATTTTTCTAGTTTAAAGAGTAATTTTAAACTAGCTGTAACTATTAAAAAAATATTAAACTTTTATTTTGCAACTAAACTCTCTCTCATTTGAATGATTGGCTATTGAACGTTACATGGATTCAGATGGCCTGGTTTAAAAGTAAATAATCCTATTCTTTCGAACCAATGTTCGCAAAATAAGGGACTGTTGTTGTATATTCTAGTGACCTTACGGTTGGTAGCCTTTATCTGATAAGCAATGATGAAGATAAAATGTCGTTTTTCTAGCTTGACAATTCCTCAATTGACAAGAGTAACCATAAGAAGAAATAATCAATTCTCAAATAATCAAATCTCTTTCATTCTCAATCAGACAATATTTTTAAGGGTAGAGTTATAAATCGGACCAGCTATAAATAGAGAGTTATTTAAAACTACTTATTAAGTGTATATTTTTGTCAGTTATACTTTCTTTGTTGGCCTTTCCATTTAAAATTACCCTTTGTTTGCCAAATTTCAAAAGATTGAGTTTATGCTTCTACAGCTGAGACCTATTTAGCTCTAGTTAGTTTTGCATGGAACTCCATTAATCTGTAAAACCAGTTTCTGTTCTAAAATAATTTTCTACAAAATTTGTATCATTATTTTTTGCACTGCAAAATCTTCATTGCAAATTGTTTTACGCAGCAAGTGCAATGATTTGCATAAAAAAATTCAGAGTTTTCACAATATTGCCCTTGTTTTTATTGAGAAAAAATTGTGCAATCTTTGTCGCATATTGTTTTTGCAACATGCGCCTGAAAACTGTTTCGCCTAATTAAGCGCAAGGAATCGCAAAGAAAAATACCATTGCATGGAAACCCTGTACCCTACTCATTTCTTGAATTAGTGCTATGGCAAAGAAATTACTACATCGTCATAGTTTATGGTCCATATTTCTGCTATATCTCCTCTGTTGTAGGTGTGATGAAAAAAGTAATTTTGTACCACCATAGAATATATCTCCACTAAAAATCCTCTGTTGTGGAACGGCAAAGTCTTTACTAATTGCGATAGTATATATTTCATATCTTTGCTGTAGCTATTCATTGTTGAAGGTGTGATAGTGGAGTCAATTACCTACCGACATAGTATATACTTCATAAATCTCCGCTGTTGATCCTCTGGCGAAGGTGCAATGGCAGAGAAATTACCTACCGCCATAGTTTATACTCCACTTAACTGGGTGCTCAGAGTCAGCTCAGTTACACTTCAACTCTTAAACATAAAGCACGGTAGGCGTAGATTATTGGTGCCCACTGGGTCGACATACAGGACAGGTTTCCCTTGACATTGAAGATTTTTATCATGCCATTATGCAGACATACAGTTTCATATTTGTTGACCTCCGTCTTCTCTGTTGGCAATGTCAAAGAGAAGTACCTTTTTGTTGAAACATTGTTCTTTTTTTTTTGATCTGTTTTTAAACAGTTTTAAAACTTAACATCTTAACTTTAAAATCTTTATAAAAAAAAGTCCGTTACTTGAAAAACTTCTTCCTGTAACATGTTTGCAGAAAATGTGAAAAATATATATTAATGACAAGCAAAATTGAATCTTCAGCTAAAACCCTATTTTCTATGCCCTTGTTTTACAATCAAGACAAAATATACATTTCTATTTTTCTCTCATGCAATGAAAGAACGATAATCGATTTCTAGGAGAAAATCTAATTTCATATTAACAAATTATCTGTAAACAACACATGCAATATATTTAAATCCTTTAATCTAAAAACAGAAGTGAACAATAAACATTCTCCTGAAAAGACAAAAAAACTACATTTCTGTTTAAGTAATGACATTAAAAGGTGCAAAAACTACAGCTTCAAAATTACTAGAAAACTGAATTGGAAGCCCAATCTTTGTTGTAAAAACATTGCAGGACATATTGACAATATTAGAAGTAAAAATCTTTTGAGCCATGCATCTAATTAGATTTTAATATTATATTGTTTTTGGAACTCTTTGTCTTCCTTCCAAAGTGTGTTGACTCCATCAATCATCTTTTGAACAAGTTGAACTTCTGAATAACCTAATCTATGCTTATTTGAAATGTCATAGGTATTCCCTGTTTGGCCACCAGATTCTCCTCTTGTTCCACGGGGTTGGAGATGAAGCTCTTCACACCTTGCTTTCAACTTATCTACACTATGCTTAGTCCAGCCAGGAAGATCAACATGAACAGAGGCCCTCATTCCAGTACCAAGATTTGTTGGGCAGGAATGAATATAACCATACTTTTCATCGTACATATAGTCCTTTCCTGATTCTTTCTTTATAGATTCTTGAACAGCTTTAATAGCTCTGCTAAGACGTTCAAATACTGCTTTGACATTGCCACCTTGCTGCATGGATATTATTCTTAACTGATCTTCTTCATTAACCCAGACCAAGAATGTTTTTTTATCATTGTGAAAAATCCCACGTCCTTCTGGCCAATCTCTTTCCATGCCAGCAACTTGCAAATTCCTATCTCCAGACATAAATAGAAAGTGATCATCAACAAGTTGCTGACGAACGTTTTCATTCATTCCTGATAATGGATAGTATTGCCCAGCAAGATCCCCAGTAAGGTTGGCAAATGCTTTAACCATGAGTTTCTCAACCCCAACTCTCTGATCCCTCGTAATTCCAGGAGAGAGTCCAAAACCATCAATAGATCTTCCAACCCTTATTCGCACTGAATGAACTGGAACTTCTTCCGAAACATTTCCTTTTAGATCTGAAACGTTCATGTTGGATGTATGTCTAGCTGAGGACGATATTCCATGATATTCTTGAATGATTGGGTCAAATATTGGGGCAAAATCTTTATAAGAGTCCCAATCTCCAGCATAAATACCACAATGCTGATTATCAAATTGAACAGCACATGCAATAGCCTTAGCCAAAGTAAATCCAGATGTCTTTGTCTTGACGCTGTTGAGTTTTTCCCACTTTTCTTTTGTTACATGTTTTGCTACAAGAGAGTGCTTTGATTGAATATCTGGGAAAGCTTCAGAAATTGCTGAAGACGGCAGGGTTGGAGGTGCCTTAAAAGGGTAAAATTATTAATTTCAAATCGGGTTTTAAAAGTAACTAGTATTTGCCACAAACTCAAAATTTCTGTTCCTTAAATCTTAAAACATAAGATTTTTTATACTTAGAATATTGAATCTACAGTAGTAGACCTATTAACCTATATAATAGAGACAACATTCTTGTGCAGCTTTTTTTATCCAGCTATTATGTAAACAAAAGAAAGCTGTGAATTTAACAGGCACATATTCTTTGCTACATAAATAATTTTCTTTTGACATATAATTGATAAGCTTCATATGTACTGAAACGTCAGAAATTTACTTTTTATTTTTTTTACATCAGTTGAGTGGGATATTAAGCAAGATCTATACGAAGCAAACATGCAGTAAACATTTTATCAAAATGTGTACTGTATATTCTATCGAGCTGCTTAATGTTGATATCCGGATTAAATTTCCCAAAAATTAACCAAAATTTCTTTATCTTGCATTACATCTAAATTATCCCATTTTGTGTCATCTATATAATTTGCCCCTTATTGCCCCCAATTTAAAAAAAATGCCCCCAATTAAAAAAACATTTTCAAATTCCACTAACACATTTGCCCCCATTTGCCCACAATTAAAAAAAATGCCCCAAATTAAAAAAATGCCCCCAATTAAAAAAATATTTTCAAATTCCACTAACACATTTGCCCCTATTGCCCCCAGTTTGAAAAAATGCCCCCAATTAAAAAAACATTTTCAAATTCCACTAACACTTTTGCCCCCATTGCCCCCAATTAAAATTTTTTTTTACAAATTCCACTAACACATTTGCCCCCAATTGGGAAAAAAATGCCCCCAATTATAAAAAACCATTTTCAAATTCCACTAACACATTTGCCTTCATTTGCCCCCAATTATAAAAAAGGATATAAAATATATATTTACCTTTCCTTGAAAGGTAGCGAGAGCCTTCAATGTATCATCAATCAGTCGGTCCATGGTGAGACTTGTTGCCACCATATGTCTAGCTGTACCGCTAGGGTCAATTAGCACAAGAGCCTTCCTTGCAGTTCCTTCATCGGGATCAAACACTCCATACTTCTTACAAATCTTTCCAGATCTATCTGCTAGAAGAGGCAGTTTGAATTGTCCACCCATTCCTCCATCAGATCTAAAATTAACGTGAAAATATTAAAATCAGTGGACCGAATTTAATGAATTTATTTAATGAATTTAATTTAATTTAATTTTCCTTTACTTCTTAATTGCTCACTAGTCAAATCCTGAATCACCTATTTACAGTTCAAGATTTTGTACAGCCATTGTGTTCTATGACTCGGCTCTTAGTTACTTGGATAGTATTATATTTTATTCAATTTTGATGGAATTTATCACATCTAATATTTCCCGTTGTAGGGTGATTAAGGGACTTTATCGCCCTACTAAAAAGATTTTCACCCTGCTATTAAAGCTTCAAATTTTATACCTAACTTGTCTAATTTTAGGGTGAAAAAGTTACTTAATCACCCTACAACAGGGTAATAAAGTAACTTTATCGACCTGCTTTTAAATAATTTGAATAAAACTGAATAAAACTGTATAAGTTATTGAAATAACTGTCATGTGTGCGAAAAAGTTTTTGCTGTGGTTTTTAATTATTTCTGTTTGTTTTCGATCAAAATAATGAAAATACTTTCATTTTGATTTTAAACAAACTAGAAAAAAATAAAAATCCCGGCAAAAACTTTTTTGCGCTTAATAATACCCATTACAATGACATAAATATGTAATAAAAAATTCAAGTTGAACCAGCCATTAAAAATACCAGGTTGAACAGTATCTACATAGTTCATCGACATTTCATTAAATCTGATCACACAGTAAAATATAGTTCCAAGTTTATAAATATTGTCCAAGTCTATTTTTTTGTTAAATCTTACTTTCGCCAATAAATTTTAATGTCAATGAACTCTTTATAGATTAAAATATAAAACATGGCAAGATATATAACATTAGTTTAAATAACGAACTCATGAGAGGACAGGTTTTAAGAATGGTAATTTTGATATTTGTAAGAAATAACTTCAATTTTAAGTCTAATTCTTTAAAAGCATGGTCAAATAATCCAAATAAGATATACACAACTTTCCTTGTCTCTTACAAACAGTTAGGTAGGTATGTACAGTAAATATTTAGAAATTCAGATTGACAGCTGGCTTGACCATGAGAGGGTCTACAGCCCTCATTGAATTCTAGGAATTTTAAACGTTGCTTTGCTGCTCAAAATCTTCTAACCCTATAAATTTCTGGGGGGGTTCAGAGCCCAATTTTTCAAGGTCAGCTCATTGAAAAAAATTAGACTGCTAAAAAATGCCTAAAAAAGGTTCGGAAAATGAAAAATATATATTTTTAAAGATGTGACACATATTTTTTTAGTTCATTTTCAATGGCTTTTCAAAAATGTGGTTTTTAGATCTGAAGCTTAAATCACATAAAAGTTATGGGCTATTCTAGATTTTTTTTTAAACGGACCAAACTTTTTTCCGCCCTGTACCCTACCCTATGCATTAAAAAGAAAATTTGAAAAATATTAAATTAGATTACTATTCCTAAAAAATTTGAAAACTTTCATGGTGAAAGTGTCAAAAATGATAAGTGCTAGTACAAAAAACTAGAGTAGGGGGGGTAGAAGTCAAACGCTACCCCCCCCTCCTGTTCAGGGTTAAAGAGTGACATGTGTAGAAAGTGTTCATTGGTTCTACACTTACAACTACATTGAGTTATTTTGTTTATGAAATTTCAATTTAGTTCCACTAAATAGTCTACCAGGAAAAGTAGAAACTTTTGGATTGCTTTAGGAAACCTATTATTTATTGGCGAACGGCTCATAATAATAATCCAGTACTAAAATTAGACAACTTTTACAATAAATAAACTCAAAAATTATTTTGCACTAATTTCTGACCTTTGGTACATAGATTGAAAATATATATGGAAAGTCATTTTAAACGTAGAAAATATCAAACAAGATAAATCAATAATATTTCAGATGTCATATTTATGCTTCATAACTTACTTGGATGCATGGGCAAACGCCTTATGAGAATAGACTGAGTCAGTGGACATTGCCATTACTTCACATCCCATTTGATGAAATTCTTCTGCCCGGTAAGACAGAGGCAGAAGGGTTTCAGAGTACAGAAAGTCCATTGGGTAGAACAAAATACACACATACTTTTTATCCTGCACAAATACAAGGAATTTAAAAATATTTGTAAGATTCATAAAATTTCGTGGTACTTATTGTTATTTGGTTAGAAAACTTGATTTCCTCACATATTGAACCATCATTACATAATGAGAATTACATAGTGAGAACAGTGCAGTTAATGTTTTTTGTTGTTATTTCTTTAAGTTACCGTTCATCGACGGCTTAAACGGTCAATTTTAAATATTTTTTTTTATATTTCATGTAATTATTAATGTAAAATTACCGCCTGAGCGGAAAAAAAAACAGAATGTGGAGAAGGAAATGGCCAAATCCGAAGACCCACCAAGAGTGTTAAGCAAGTTAGTTTATAATTTATTTCTATAAGATACATACCAATTTTACGATTTGGATAATGCATATGCGTATACTAAATTTATAAAGAAAAAAAATGTTCTTACCTTATAGTCCTTTAGACTGATGTTCCCAATGGTATTATTAAAGTAAGCATGTGCTGAGAAATCTGGCGCGGGGCCTGGAGTTTGGAGCAGAGGCATCCTGAGGAATTTGAATTATGAGAAGCATAATCACTTTTAAAGCAATCTTATTCTTTATATTTGTTTTCAGATTCTTAAAATTTATTTACATTTAATTTTTTTGTTAATGATATATACTTTATTGAAAGAACTCAGTGGTAGCGGTTGAGACCTAGCCTAGACTCTACTCAGTCTAGAATAAAGTTATATGCATTTTTTTCATTTTCTGAAACCTTTTGCTTTTAACCGCTTTCTTATTGTAAAACTTTTCTGGTCTCAACAGTTATTTGCTTTCAACAGTTCAAAATTAGATTATTTAATCTGACAGAAATTATAGTTTGAAATATCAAAGGTCTTCAACATCAAGTTGCAAAGATAAAGGGATTAGAAAATATGACTTTTTGACAAAAAAATCGACAAAGAATTGACTAAACTTAAAGTATAAATAATTTCGCACTTTAATTTTGTTTCTATTCAAAAAATGAGCATCCACAAATCCTAAGCATTCTCTGCCTTTGCCTCACTATAGAGTGTAGAAAGGACAAGACGAGGCAAAAAAAAAATGTCGGGTTCTTGTTCGAATAAATTATTTTTTTGTCATTATGCGCTTATCCCGAAATGGTTAAATAAATTTATTTCATAAATATATATTGATCCATAAAAAAAAAAGAGGAGCATGTCCGATTTACAACGGTACCCTTCACATCATTATCTCATAAATAATATGGAAGATATCGTCGTTTTTAGCATAAACAGTATTTGGTTATGATAAATTACCCAACATGTTTCTGCAGTAGAAATGCGCAAGTGGAAAACCCACTTTTGAAAATAATTAGTCTTCAAAAAAAGAAATATGGAATTAATTCATATTTTATCTGGCAAAGCTTTTGAGGATATTCCGTTGTGAATCGGAAAGGAGTTGAGTTTTTGCCACAAACTCTGATTTTCTGATCTTTATATCTGTGTAACCCAATGTCGTAGACCTTAGATATTTCAAACTATTAATACTTATAGATAAAATAATCTAAGTTTGAAAAATCAAAGGTTTGCCCCATCAGGTTGCAAAGATATTGGGATCAGAAGATTTAAGTTTGTGGCAAAAATTCAATTCCTTTCACTCTCGAAATAGTAAGTGTCTTGAAATTATGACTACAGTCCCATAAAGACATGTTTGTGACCAAGATTTATTTTGTAAACCATTTGTTTATAATTATCGTGTATCGGTTTCCTGAGTGCTATGCTTTCTTGGTGGTTATACCAAGTAATATTAATTGTGTCCATTTGTTCTCATGCTACAGTGATTCTCATTAAACTGTGGAATAGGAAGACAACTTTTGAGAAATTATATGATGTTGCTACAAAGCAAATAGTTTAACCAGCAGCTTGGAAATTATCATATGAAGGCTATAAAACACTGCACAATTAAACTTCAATTAAAAATCATTACTGAACTGTCGTCATCCTTTTCCCTAGTTTTATTGATATTACTGTATAATGTATTGTATTGTTTTGATTACCTGAATGTCAACTCAAAACTGACCTCCGGAGCTGGTAAACTCTCTCTACACTGGTCAAACAGAATTCTTAATGTATCTATCTATCATTCCTCACGTGAAACGAAAGTAAATTACAATTAAATTCTTATATGTTTTCAATAATAATTCATCTTATTGAAAAACTATTGAGAAAAAAAATGTATTGAATTGTTATACATAACCGGAGAAATTTGTTTTCTTGTACTTTTTGCTCATCTAATTTTTCTAGCTCATAGAGTCCTTTTTTGTGAAATCGGAAATGTCCTGTAAATAAATTGTTTCAAGTAAACTCCTTTGTTGGCTTAGATTTCAGTTGATTTCTTCAACGCGAAGAAAACTATCTTAAAAAAAAAAAGAAATTTGGTATTCTTTACATAAATATATATCGATTAAAATATTTAATTTGAGCAAAGAATTATCATGATTTTCTTATTTTTTTTATGAGTCAAACTTTTTCATTTTCAACATTTTAACTTCTTAAAATATATTTTCTTTATGATTTTTCTTTTCTGGTCAATGTGGTCAAAAACTAGCTTTCTCTCACATTATTCAAAATCTTCAAATGTTCAAAATTTTACGATTGGAGTGTGAGATTACATTCTCAAAATTTTTTAAACACACAATACTAAACTATAACTTATATGGGGAAATCTTTTGATCTTTTAATCTTTGATACAATTAAAGAATATCAGTATTTAAACATTGTATTCAGAATTTTTAAGATCTCTTCAGAGTTAAACAAATTCTAAGCCAAAAAACGGATTTAGGAAAGATATAGAAAAAAGGTTTTTCATTCATAAACAAAATTTTTACAAAAGTATTCAGTGGTTCAATATTTTTATCAATATCAACGTATTTTGAAAAACTAAAAAATCTATCTATTTAATGATGCTATTTAATTCATAATTTACTAAACAAGTTTTAAATTTTTCAATATTTTTCTTTTATGAATGTTACTTTTAATTTGCTATTGCTGATTTGACATTTTTGATAAACCATTTTCAAACTTACAAATATCATTTTGACAATTCGATTGAAAAATGTTAATTCTAGCCTATTCCAAAGTTTCATTAAAATTCTAATAATATCAATATACTAAAGTTTTTACAAAAATTCGCGAAAAATGATCTGTATTTATACTGCATGCGCCAAATCTCAACCAAATTTAAAAAGGTGGAAAAATAAAATTTTCTAAACTATCTATACTTTGCTTTTCTCTCTGTTTGTTTCTTTGTATCCAATGAACGTCAAAACGGCTAAACCTTACGGGCCCAAAGTTTGTGTGGGACCTCACATGACCCCAGGGAAGGTTTATGGATGATAAGAATTTTCAAAAATTTGCCTCTGACAAAATTCTATTTAGAAATTTTAAAATCCACGAAATTTTAAGTCCGCAAATTTTTGTTTGTTTTTGTTTTACAGAGAGAAATTGAAATAAAAGATGGGCGCGAAGCGCCCTAAAAGCATAGTATATATATATACTTTGCTTGTCTCTAGTAATACAAATTTATTAAATGCCATATTCTAAACCGCTAAGGCATTTGTTTACCTGACAAGGAACAAGCCACTATATATTGACTCAAAATAAATAACTGAAAACAAAAATTCATTTTATAAAGCATAAATGAACTTCTAAATTATTTCAAGGATCTAGGTTTCCAAATTTTATCTGTATAATAAAGCTCTTCGATCATCTATATATATATTTACATTTCTAGAATCCGACACTTTTGACTTGATCTGTATAATGAAGCTCTTCGCTCATATATACTTATAAATATTTACATTTCCAGAATTCGACACTATTGAGTCGGGACTTATAATATCCTTTAAGTGTTTACGAAAAAGAAGTAGAAGGAGTTCTGATGATAAAAGATCATTCTTCACAATTTAAGCTGTATGCTAATTTTTTATCATGATCAGTGGCCATTTGAAGAGAACAGTTGTAGTAAAAACTGGGCGGGCATAGACTCAACAGGGGCGGATACAGGATTTAAGTGAGGGGGGGAACAAAATAATTCATAATTAGGAACAAAAAATCGCGCCGCAGGTGAAATTTTTTTTGACTTAAAAGACTCAAAATGAGCCAAAATTAATGATTTAGGAACAATAAAAAGATTGTTCAGCAATTAGGAATCTGTAAATAACTGGCGTGCGTTCAGAATATGTTAAAGATAGTAGCTGAGTTGCTTACACTTTTTGAATTTAATGTAGAGCATTTATTATTTTTGAAGAATGTATGGCATCGAAAAAGATAATGTTGCAGATTTGGTCCAATTCTTGTAAACAGGTTAAGTTTGAATCTAAATAAAAAAATCTGGGTGTACTTTTAAGTAGGGACACTTCTTAAATGTATTGTAAAACAACATTAATTAACTGTTTTTTTTTAATTTTGAAGAATTTTACTTTTGATTGTTTGGATGAACAAAAGTGTGACATATTAAGCATGTCTGAAAAGCTCTGAGTTGGATGGATTCTTCACTTGCCCGAGTCTAATTTTTCTTCGTTAAACTGTTTTTTTAAATAATTATTTTAAGTGAATGATGAATATTTAAATTGAATTGTTAAAATGTTGGCGTCCCACCCAAAGATCAGGTTAAAAATGCAGACTATAGCAGACAACTTGCATTCTTGTTATGACCGGCCTTTTAACCAAGAGTGCCGTTGTTGAGGACCGACCTCTTTTTGTCTCTGTCCGCCCACACAAGGGCGCAGGCAGAACAGAAGTTCAAAAATGTGGAAGAATGGGTGGGTGAATAAACTTTAAAAAGTCACGAAATAGCAATTTTATTTCTTATATAATTAGTTTTTAGAAAACATTATTTTAAAAATGCCAGTGTCAACGTATTTTTGGAAAGTAGTAGTGATATCATATTTTTTATATACTATTATATAATTTTGGTTTCATCCTCTTTTCTTATTTTGTACGTATAAGAATGTTTAACAATAAACGTGTATTGATGATTTCTTTTGTTAAAGACAGAATTCTTTACATTTTATACTGTGAAGTCAGGTGCTGGTTTTAGGTGAATAAACAATTGGTGAATAACCGGCCAACCGGCATCCCCCGGAAAAGAGGTAGATATAGAGTGTGTTGTAGATACAGTGTAAATTGTAAACGACATAAAAAATAAGCTCATGCAAACTTTAATTTCTTGTCCTTTTTCTGACAAGCCAGTCATTCTTATTTGTTGTAGTTAAGTTATTTTAATTTTTTTAAATAAGTAACATGAAGTATACTACAACTAGTAGTGAAACAGCAAAACAAAGTTATAAATAAAATGAATTTATTAAAAAAATATGCCATATTATAAATTATAAAAGTTTTCTTGACAAAGTTAGTTGCATTAAGTTTTGATGCTGCAGTCCTTATCTTCAGAGTGATATTTGCTTCTATACTTAGTTTAATGTTATCTACATTCTAACATAAACCACAAAATCTCTTTGTTATAAATTTATTTTAATGCACATTATTTCTCTTAAAATTTAAGTTGCTCTTACCTTATGAAAAATTCTTTCCTTGAGAGATTGTTTTACAAACAAGGCACTAATTTTCCGTAAAGAGCTGGTATTTTACGGGTATTTAATGCACATCGATCCAGACAGCAATACAAGTTTTTTAGGAATAAATTATACTTTTTTTCGTATATTTTTGAACTGTTATGCATTTATTTTTAAGCTTTAGTTCTTAAGAAGTAATTTGCAAAACTATTATACATTTGTTAGTGAGAGCTTACAACCTTAGGATTCCTGTGAACGATGTTATTAATGTTTGCAGTGTGTGCTTGGTGTCAGGTGTTAAGAGCTCTATTCACCTTCCCCACCTTTTAATACCAACTGTCCGATGGAATAACTTTTTTCTTTGATGCTAACTACAAAGGAGTTAAGTTTTCGCCACAAACTCTGATTTTCTACTCTCTATATCTTTGTAACCCGCTGCCGTACACCTTAGATATTTCAAACATCAATACTTATAGATAAAATAATCTAAGTTTGATATATCAAAGGTTTGCTCCATAAGGTTGCAAAGATATTGGAATCAGAAGATTTTAGTTTGTGGCAAAAACTCAATTCCTTTTCCCTCGCATCATGTCCTTATTAAACCCATTACAATCAAAAATTGAGTTTATACAGAAGAGCGATATACATCTAGAGAAGAACCAAATTACTTCTTATTGGGTTGTAAGGCCACTAAGAATAATAAATACCATCATAACTTTTCACAAACAAAATTTGTTGTTATTGTTTTTCAATTTATGAAAGAAACATTCTCGCAGGGAAAGTAACATTTAATAGTTAAGTATATTCCTATAAAATGGGGCACTATAGGAAGACAGAATCTTTATAAATATGACCAATTTTATAATGGACTAATAAAGAAAATCTGGATAGTAAAATCGGAGGAAAAAAATAAACTTAATTACCAAATAACAAGCCATTTTAAATTTATACCAGTGACAAAATAAATACAATTCAGTGATTTTAATGTCCAAGTATTCATTTTCAAGAGTCCCATGAAACAAATATAGGCAAATTACTTTACAATTTGTTTAATAGTTTTTATTTCAGAAATCGTAAATACTTTAAATATTGATCATAAAACATTAAAAAAATGAGGTCACTTATCCTCTGCAGTCTGCTTTTAGCTGTATTACCTCAAGCCATAACAGCTAGGTATATCGTAAGAATTTATAAATCATAAATTTAACATTAAAAGTATTCTGACATGATTATGAATTAATACTATTTTCAGTTTTATTCAAGTTTGTTAATCTGTGTAAAAAAAAAACTACTTTTTAAAAGGACTGTGAACGTAACTTTAAGTGACTTTCATAAGAAAAAGATGAATTCACGATTCATGTGGTACCCTTGAAATTTTTATCTGATAAAAATATCTGGACTTTTTTTCTAGCTTGTGAAGTGTTTAATTCTGATAATTTCTCCAATATTTTAAAAGCAAAAAATGCGCAATTACTTTTGTAGAGAAATCACAATAAAAATTACTAAAATTATTTACATTGAAATCTAAACCATACTTGATCAGACAAAGCTTTTAAGGGTTACATTGTCAATTGAGAATTGATATTTGCATGGAAGCCACGCATGGAAGAAATTGCGCTTAGAGTCCCTTTAATAAAGGTACGGCCGTGTTCATGTTAAAGATGGGATGTTCTACTCCAAGGATGATGGACGAATTCTAATGTTTAGGGGAATTAACTCTGTAATAAAAAATTTTCCTTGGTAGGTTAAAAACTTAAAAGTTAAAACAAAAATAAACCGTTTAACATATAATTTTCAATACCGCTAAAATTGTAAATCATTTAATTTTATTTAAACCTCATCATTTATATCATAATTCATAAATTTCGAATTTTTTCTGGTCATTAGAATGTAGTAAACATATCATAATATTCTTTATCTTTATATGACATAAGTGTAACTTTTCAGAATTTTCATTTTAATGAAGAAGACGATATTTAAAATCAATTAATCTCCTATTCAACTTTTTACTGGAGGGTGACTGATCGAGAATGCCGATGCTATTCTGTTTGAACTACTGCCGTTTGAAGTATTGGATAATTTGAACTATTTTTAAGCGCAGTTGATTTATTTTGATGTTCCTTAATTTGAACTATTTTCATGCTAAGTTAATTTATTAATAAAACTTCACATAAAAACTCAAATATTCGCCTTAATACTTCAAATTAACAATAAGTATAGTTCAAATGAACAGATAAAATGTTCAAAAGTACAAAAAAAAGTTCAAATGAACAAAAAAAATAGTTCAAAATAGTCAAAAATAGTTCAAAATGAAATTGTTTAATTTTGCATATAACAATTTTTTTGGTCCTTTATTGTGCATTTAAACTATTTTTTGTGTGCATTTGAACTGTATTTTTGTTTATTTGAACTGTTCATTTGTGCATTTAAACAATTTATTGTTCATTTCCGGCATTTTTTTGATTATTTGAACTTTTTATTTTGTTTGTTTGAACTATTGTTTTGTGCATTAAACTATTTTTTTCTCGTCCATTTTAAATATTTTTTCTGTGCATTTGAATTTTGTTTGAATTAAGTTTGTCTGTTTGAACTATTCTTTAATGATTCTTTTGACCTGTTTCTTCTGAGGAAATTGCCCAAATTTCTATATTTATTATTATATGTTTACCCCATCGAATGAAATCTTCTATCAGAGTATAAACTGTCGATGTTCATCGAAAGTAGTAAAAATAAGAAATAGTTCAAACAACCAATAGTTCAAACGACCAATAATTCAAACGGCAGTATTTTTGTGAAAACCGTGAAATTACTAGACTTTTCTGCTCTTAAAGTGTCAAGCATTTTCGACCATTTACTCCTTATAGAAGTTTAATTATAGTTGCAATCCAAATTTGATTCTTATTCATTCTATACATTCATTTTTGAGAAAGCTCGCATTCAACAATGTAACCCAGGTATGATCCTAAGATGTTGGATCCAATACGACAAAAACAGTTAAAGGACTGGGGCTTTAATGCAGTTAGGTTCGTATACTTTTAATTAAGTCCACCAATTATATATTCTTTGGAGAAAAAACGGAAGCAGTTGAGAAAGCAATTGAAAAAGCTTAGACTCTTTGGCCTTTGCAGTTTAGAGTAAAAAATAAAAAAAAGATTTTTTTGTACAAAGAACGTGTCTATTGTATTTCTTCTGAATGCATACTTCAAATTAGTATGCACTAGCTTAATTTTGCGAAGAAAATAGATTTATCCGTTGCTAAAAAATTATGCTCGACGATTTTTTAATGGCGGGAAAGCATTTTTATTTATCAGATAATACTCACAATTTTCTTTCTGATGGTTCATTAATCTCATTATTATGAATACAAATCACAGCTTTCTATTCAACCAGATTTAGAATGAAACCAGATCTTAGACTTTACTTTTTGAACTTTAAAGTATCTGTAATATAGATTCTATATATTTATATCTTCAGTACCTAAATAAGTTTATATAAGATTTTATATGTTATCTATATACGAATCCGAGTTGAAAGAAAAACAGGTATTTTTATCTGTAAGATAACCGACCTTGATTAGTTTTAGAACGATAGTTGAGATTAACCATTGTACTAACTTATTACAAACTTTGCATATTCATAGTTAATTGCTCAAAATTTCTTAAGTTTAAAATTTTTTGCTTTCATTTCCGAAAATTATTCTTAATTGTGAGTTTTCTTACAGTTTCCTAATTAATTAAATGTTTTAAATTAGGCCCAATATGTCACAAGGCTCAATCCTTATTTAAGTCTTAAATGACTGCTTCAGACGTGCTTTTTTTAAGTCGTGACCATAGTGTAAATAGCTTGCATCTGATCGAGAAATTGTGTCCTAAATAATAATTATCAGTTATCTAGCTTTAACGCTTATTTAGAATGGAGAAATTAGGGTGAAGAATAATGTTTACTGTTAAGCAACCCTGAGAGGAAAAAGAGTATTTATTCTTTCTTTAAAAATAAAATAAAATAAAATAAAAAAATTCCTAATCAATTTAGAACATTGGATTAAAATCTATCATAAACATTTAAATGTAGATTGAAGATATCATTATAGAATGCTTTTAAGGATGCACACTGCACAAGGGGAGGAAGCTTCCAAAGTTTCCAGAAGCAATTCTGAGTTGAAGCATTTTTCGAAGTGTCTTCTTTACACGAAAAATACTATTATATTTTTTCTTTAAAATTATAGATTGGGAATGATGTGGTCTGGCCTTGAGCCAAGCGAAGGAGAGGTATATTATGGACATTATATAGCAGTATTATTTTGGTTAGCTTTGAGAGAAATTAGTGAGAAATTAGAGAAAGGAGTTGCGTCTTCGTCACAAACTCACATTTTCTAATCCCTATAACTTTCCAACCTGACGGCGTAAAGCTTTGATATTTCATACTTTTATTATTTGATCTAATAGAATTCATAGTTTGAAATATCTATAGTAAAGGACATTGGGTTGCCAAGATGTAGGAAAAATGTAAGAAAATCAGAGTTTGTTGCTAAGACTCAATTCCTTAGTGAGAAATTAGTGAGAAATTTATCTTAATCGAGAATATTCAAGTTTCTCTAGATTAAATATAATCACATTGAAAAAAAATCAAGACCACATGATTCAAGTCTACCACTCTGCTAAATTTTTCAGTTTTAAAAATTCTTGAAAATGTTCAAATCATTTTGATAAATTTATTGCGCCACGCATAGTGGCAGACTTGAATCATATATTCCCGATTTTTTCTATTAGATTTAACCTTGCCACTTTGTGCAGCGCAAAACATTTTTCACGGATTAAAAAAGAAAAGAAAATTTGTGACAGACTTGGTTCATCCTTGCCACTCTGCAAGGTGTAGAAAATCCTTCAAAAGTATTTTAAAATGTTCAAAAAGTCTAAAGATTTAAAAGTAGCAGATTTGAATCATATGGTCTCGATTTTTTCCTTTTGGTGGCAGTGTTGAAACATGAAATAATCCCAATTTTTGGGGCAGTTTACATCAATATTTGGAGGGTAATTGAAAGGCCAAATTCTGAAATACCGTATAAATCAAATGAAAATAATACTATTAGATGTTTTATTTAAATGCTGACACTGTCCCTGTAAGGTTTTATTGTAGGTAAATGAGACATATTCTGGATTAATAAAAGATATCGTGAACGGGTTGGAAGAAAATGGAATATATACTTACTTGGACATGCATCAGGTATATTTTATAACCATTTATTTTTTAAAGTTTTAATAACAGAATAATTTAAAATTGTTTAAAACAATATTTACAGATTTTTAATACAAGTGGAGAAAACAGCATTTCCACCATTTATTTTTGAAATGTATCATATTCATCAAAATCCTTGGATACAAATTTAATGTCCAAGAAGAAGAAGGAAAAATTAACAAGAAAATTTAAAAATGATATATATAGTACAAATTTCTTGCAGAAAATCCGAAATCTATATATAAATTTGGCTTGTCTGTCTGTTTGTCTGTCTGTTTGTTTGTATCCAATAAACGTCAAAACGGCTGAACCGATCGGGCCCAATTTTTTGGGGGGACCTCACGGAGCCCCAGGGAAGGTTTATGAATGGTTGAAGTTTTAAATATTTGTCTCCATAAAAATTCGATCTTTATTAAATTTTTGAAAATTTTGAAAATCCACGAAATTTTTTGTGAAAATCCGCGAATTATTTTTGTTTTGTTTTATGATGTACACAAAGAGAACATGTTCACAATTAATTTAGAAGATGGGCGCGAAGCGCCCTCTAAGGCTAGTCTATGTATAAATTTGGCTTGTCTGTCTGTTTGTTTGTCTGTTTGTTTGTTTGTTTGTATCCAATAAACGTCAAAACGGCTGAACCAATCGGGCCCAATTTTTTTGTGGGACCTCACCTGACCCCAGGGAAGGTTTATGAATGATCAAAATTTCAAATATTTGTCTCCATCAAAATTCAATCTTCATTAAATTTTTGAAAATTTTGAAAATCCACGAAATTTTTTGTGAAAATCCGCGAATTATTTTTGTTTTGTTTTACGATGTACACAAAGAGAAAATGTTCACAATTAATTTAGAAAATGGGCGCGAAGCGACCTCTAAGGCTAGTACAGATAAAACCAGCATTAAATTTAAGAAAACATGGGTTTTTTTCAAATAACTGACATTCTTTTGAGAAGAGCTGTTGAAATACAATTTTCTGATAATGAATATGATATGATAAATTAAAAATATCATGATGTATATCAAATTATTGGTTTTATATGGGGTTTATTTCGTTTCTACTCATTTCTGGCATTTACAAACTCTATCAAATAAGGGTTTCATTTCCTACCTTTCAGCTTTCACCTTGTTTTATATCATTCATTATAGAATTTGTGGCAAAAGACTCAATAGTCAATTCCTTTGTTGACTCTGACAGAAGATATAAGACTGAACTATACATAATCAATCGTTCGTTAACAAACTATTTGAAAAATAATTTGAAAGATTATATCTTCTGCCAGAGTCAAGCGTAGCGTAGTAAACCAAATTGATGTTATAAAGCAAACAGTTTTAAAATATGTTAAGCTTCTCAGATTTTTGTGGAGTCGTCTGAAAATCTAAAAATCCTGAATGTTTAAAAAAACTCAAAATAACGATGCTCAACTCTAGGATACACTAACTGGAATAGATGGATACTGGGGAATACCTAAGTGGTTGAGTGATAAGCTGGACAAATCAGACCGTCCATATCCTTGGTATATTTAGCAGTTTAGAATTATGGATGAATTGATATGTATATAAAGTCAAGTAGAAATTTTGAGGTATTGCGAGTGGTTGGTAGACAGTAGCATGACCATCTATTGCTGTAAACAATAAGCATTTCATTTAATCCTCTAGGAATGTTGTTGTTTTAACACTATGTTTATTTGTTAAAAAAGTCCATATGTATTGTAGCAACAACAATGTTAACTGAAAATTGTACAGGGTGAGTTAATCAATGCAAGTTAAACAAAAGTAAGACAGTGACTAGACAAAGTAATAATTAACATTTAAAGTTTTTTCTTCTGTTAAAAATGTATTTTTCACTAGATTTTTCAGTTTTTAAAAAAGATTTTTTCGTTCGATGGATTTAAAAAACACTAATTTGAATGCAACATGCATAAAAATGCATTGGCACCTACCTTAAAATTTATTTTTGTTGGTCAACCATACTCAGATAGCAACACTTCAACTCTGTCACAGAAATTCGATAACAAAATCTTTATTTCCCAATGTTAAGCACTTCAGGGTTTACAACTTGGGCCTGTGGATACTTTACAGAGGAAATCAGTAATGCTTTTCAACAAGTAAACCACAGTTTGTAATTTAAACTTATGTAAACTTTTATAGTTACTACTTTTGCGATCTTCGAAAATTGAAAATTGATTTAAATTGTATTTAAATAACCTAAACAATTTTTAAAATTTTTAATTGACAGTCCTTGATCTTTGATCATCTACATTGTCTTTTGATTTATTTCTGAATGTTTGTTCAATCGCCTCGGAGCTTCAGCACAGTCAGGTTCTAATGCTTGATCTCTCCTAGTTTCTTGGGGCTGAACAGAACCCTAGGTGTAGAATAAAACATGGAAGTACACCCTTCTTGGAAAAAAAGAAAATAATAATTGGAAAAATAGGAGGGGTTCTCTTTGCTTCTCTTCGCCCTCCCTCTTGCCAGAAACTAAATCTGAATGGCAACTACCCTCACTATCGTCTTTTTTAGAGAGACCCCACCTTACCCTTGAAGCTAAATCTGAATGGCAACTACCCTCACTACCCCAACTACCGTCTGTTTTTTAGAGAGACCTCACCCCACCCTTGAAGCTAAATCTGAATGGCAACTATTGGAGCTAAATCTGAATGGCAACTACCGTCTGTTTTTAGAGAGACCCCACCATAACCCTTGAAGCTAAATCTGTTACCAGTATTTTCTTTTCATTTTTAAAAACTTCACTTATTTAAATATCGTCTTCCCAGCCCTTTTAATTACTGCATGTAAAAAAGTATTATTATAAATAAATAATGCTTCTGCATTTTATTCTAATAAGTCCATCATCATTTATTTTGGCATTTCTGAAACTTAAGAATTGACAATGAGATGGTGGCATAAAATAAAGTTAGAAATTGATTTTAGTGTGCAATCATTTAATTCGTAAAACATTAAGCAAGGAAATTTATGCTGAACAAGAAGAAAAACACAAACTGTAGATAAAAGCTAAGACAACAAGTGCCTGCATACATCATTACATGCTGGCAAAGAATTAAAAACTAAGAAATCAAACAAACCTTGCCAACTACGTTTAACTATGCCTTGTCTCATCTATCTAATAAATAGAAAAAAATGTTTCAGAAATTTGCTTTTCTTTGATAAGCATATCAATAATGTCATTATACTATAATCCATGTTACAACAAACTATATCTAGCTTTAAGATATTATATTAACAATATTTTTTTAGCTGTACACTAACAACAAGGGAGCAGCTGATTATTTTGCTAATTTCTGGCTTCAAGTTACTAAAAGGTAATTTTATCCACCAATACTCATCAATGCAGAAAATTGTTTTTAAAAATAGAACAACGTAGCTTTCTTTAAAGCATTTTACCATACCTTGTATATATTTAACATAGTTTGCTTTTTCTCAAATTTTGGCCAACCTATTTGTTAGGTTTGTTATGAAATAAAAGTAATGAAACAGTGTCCGAATTTAATGAACTCAAGCCGCGTCTTAAATCCCCCCAAAACCGGTTTCAATCGAGTGCTGGCTTAAATCTTGAAAAATTTAATACAAATTTAAGTTGAACTGACAAAATTTGAGCCGGGGCTCAAATTTAAACCGCGGCTCAAATTCTTTAAATTCGGCCTCTGGGCCTTAAAAAAAAATTAAAATCTTTCCTGAAGAGGTAAAAATATCTTTTACTTGATAAGAAAAAAAGTGGATCACTAGATTTGGATATTTGGTTACATGAAGTGTTGCCCAGGCAAAAGGTATATTTATATCCCAAATAATTTCTTCTTGCCTGGGTCATTGTTGTTCCCCCATGATTTGTACGGTCAACACCCCACAAACTTTCAACAAATGTAAATAATTTGATATAGTAAAATTTATACCGTGTGGCGTGTAATCCAAACGAGGCCCGTTAGCTACCCAAGCCACACCTCAAGCTCTATACCCAAGCTAAGTCTGACCAGCTTACTCATGCTGAGTCAACTCAAAAATATACCTGACACGGCTTGTGAGGAGACCTGAGAAGAAAGGAATGATGAAGACAGGCAACAGAACGGTTCTCTTTAGCATTCTCTGATTGCAAACATGGATTGGATCGGAAACCGTTCAACTCTACAACCGTGTTAATTTGATTTGTATACTTAAATCAACCACAGTGTTTATTTAATCTTTTTATATAAATAACTTTCTGTTGTGAACGTCGTTGATTTATTCTATAATAGACAGTAGTTTATTTAGCCTGTCTATTTCTGTTGAAGTTGGCAAATCTCTTTCTGATCTTTTGTACACTCATTCTTATTCTGCCTTATTAACTTAACTACCTGTCATTGTGTAACTGTGTAATGTTTATGCCAAGCAAATTTTCAAATCTTAAAGGGACTGTAAAGGAAAAATGAAAGGGGGTATAGGCTGAAAGCTAATCACTTTAGCTCTTGATCGTGATCCATGAAAGTTATATCAGATGTTCCTATCTCAATAAATTGATATAAAACTGTGTAAAATTTATACGAAAATTCATGTATATATGGATAAAATATAAACTATAAATTAATAGATATCTATAGTGAGTGTCTTTGATAAATGATGATTTTCATTTGATTCCTTTATGAAACCCCGTTATACTTGCATCAGCGTAGACGTAAAATATTAAATAAAACAAAACAAATGTGTCGTGGTAAATATTAAAACGTAAATGCCCAACATTTAAATTAAAATAACAAAACAGACATAAAGAGCACACAGAATCAAAGTCAACTATTGTTGACGTCAAATAGTTCAATACAATAGATGACATATTAACCCTGTACCGATTGGGCTTTAATTGTCTAACATAGATTCATCCCCCTCCACGTTTTTGATTGGGAAGGGGTGGAAAACACCGTGATAGGGTCAAACTTTAAGTAAAAGATTCGCTGTCAAAATTTGATTGTTTTCTTTAGGTTTATGAATAACACTGCAGTTCTTGGATATGAGCTAATAAACGAACCCTGGACTGGAGATATTTACATGGTGAATAAGATCTAAAATATTTTTCAAGAATAACTTGAAAATATATATATATATAAAAAATTAATGGTTAAAAAAATTTAAATACTAATTTTAAAACAAAAATAGATTTAAAAAAGGATTGAAAATAGTAAGTGGCGTCGTATGGAAACATCTGATCAAATTTAATAATAATCCCCCCCCTTCCTGACTTCCGAGAAAGAATGTATACAAATTAGTTAATTTAATCATACAGAGATTTTCTCGCCTGTATCTAAAAAGTCGACATGTTGGCACATAAAGAATTCGCCAAAGTATCGCCATCATTCCAAGAGAGAGAGTTTGAAAGGTCTTCCAACTTTAATGTGTTCTTTGTTTGTAAGGGGACTCCGATTGTCATCATTAGCACACACATATCGGTAGCGAGCAGCAACTAATCTTCTTTCTAATCCTTTGAAATTCAACTTTCAACTAGTCTGTCTGCAATATTTGTAAACAAACCCCCAGAGTACAAATATACTTGCAGCAAACCTTTATATCCAATGTAATGTATGTCAGTAGCTAGTTCCATAGCAAAATTGCCATTTTTCAATTTTATCTGTAGTCCTCCGGTGTATGTCTTCTATATATAAATTTGGCTTGTCTGTTTGTCTGTTTTGATGCTTGTCTGTCTGTTTGTATCCAATAAACGTCAAAACGGCTGAACCGATCGGGCCCAAATTTTTTGTGGGACATCTAGGGACCCCAGGGAAGGTTTATGAATGATTGAAATTTTAAAAATTTGTGTTTAAGAGGTTTTTAATTTTGTAAAAAAAATTTAAATTTTTGAAAATCAGCGAAATTTTTTTTTTAAATCCGCAAAACTTGTTTCATCTTTATTTTGAAATGTAAACAATTCGAACATGTTCCTAATTTATATAGAAGATGGGCGCGAAGCGCCCTAAAAGCCTAGAAAGAAGGGCGTGAAGCGCCTTGAATTTCTAGTATTGTATATTTTTGTATATCTATGCTTGATAAACTGACATTTTTTGGTTCTTTCCCGAAATAAAAAAAAGGTTGATATCAATATATATATGTTGTTTTTGGAATGAGAAATAGCTTTCACAACAGGGGTTTCAAAGAAGACCTTTCAAGACCTAAACAAAAACAATTGATCAATTCAAAATGTCGTCTTTTTACAGTAAACACAGTGTGTTTAAAGTTTCCTGAAATTTGTATTGCAGAAATCAAATTGTACACTAAGGGATTTTTTTATTGGAAGGGTGGGAATTATTTTGATATCTTTTCTCTTTACAGAAACATCTGTACAGCATTAACAATTTAATGAGTACAGAACCAATGCTTAGGTGAATATGTATTAACCTAACCCTCTGTCATTTTTTTTGCGAACGCTATCTTTAAGAACCGGTGTTTTGCTGTAGGACCCTAGCTTACTGCTTCCTGGAAATGCTGGAAAGGAACTTTTGGAACCTTTTTTTAACAAAGCAAGTGATGCTATCAGGTTTACTATATTTTTAAAAGTTTTTGGGCCCCCCCAGCCCCCCCCCCCCGGCCTACTATCAATTTTGTACATGACCAAATTAGTATTTATTTAGCATTATTTAGGGGAAGGTAGGTTAAGACACTTTCTTGGCTGAGCGCTGCGGCTATGATGGGCTAGGGGGCCGAGCGCACTGCGGCCACAGGTTAGGTTAGTTCAGACACTTTCTTGGCCGAGTGCTGCGGCTAGGATGGGGTAGGGGGCCAAGCGCTGCAGCCACGGGTTAGGTTAAGTTGGGACACTTTCTATAAGATCCATGTACAAAATTGATAGGAGGGGGGGGCCTGGGGGGGGTCCAAAAATCGTTCTCTAGGAAAATACCAAGTTTTCAGTTTAACTGTACTTTTTTTGAGTCACAAATGCTTTCTACTCTGTTAACATTAAAAACATAAGATATGGACATTTTAACATACCAAAACTGTAAAACTAACATACAAGAGCTGAGAAAATTTGATCTGGATGTTCAGAATAAGATAATTCAAGATTTGGTCTGTAATTCTCTCCAGAATATATCATATCAAGGACGACATCTATAGTGTCCTACCTGTTATATTAATTAATCTATGCTGTCTAGTGTTTTTTTATAGTATATATACTTGGATCCTTTAGATAACTTTGACAGCCATTTTTGGCTTCCGAAAAATGCAAATAGATGATTCTAGAAGGTTGTGAAAATCTGGCTTGTAAAAATTTACCATTGTTTTGTTACCAAACTTTTACTGATAAGCTCAGAATTCTTTATAAAATAAGAATCTGAAATAGAAATAACCTTGATAAAACATTTACAACATGTGGTTTTTGTTTGAGCTGTCAAGAAAAATGTCATCAATGTGTGGAAGAATGAAATATTTATGAGAATAAATAGCAATTCTGAAAGACAGATTTTTATTTGTTTCCGATACAAATTATAATATACTTATAAAAGGAGAGATAATTTGATTATATTACTTTAGATCTCTTGACAACGAGACTATGATTTTCTGGGAACCTGTCACTTACGCTTACTTTGTTAATGTAAGTAATTCTTTTCTGTTAGCATTGTAGTAATATTTTCTAATATGACTGCATGTATTTCAAACAAATGTAAACAAACAGACTAATGTCTGTAAAGGAAAAAAATTTTCAAATGTTTTTGAAATATAATTTTTCTTTCCTTATTTTGATAGCTTTCATCTTTTTAACTCTAATTTTATTTCTACAGTCAGGTCCTAATTCTCTTCTTGATCTGGTTCTTGACGCTTATCTGAACACTCACAATATTTCAATTTTCTTTCCTATTCTTAAGCAGGTATTTAAAAAAAATCCATTTTCCAATAACATAACAAATTAAGTGACCCTCAGATTTAAGAAAATCATTAGTCACAATACAACGCAATAAGCACCTTTGATGGATATACGATGGATATTTTTTCTTAAAAATAAGAATAACTGTAAAGGAACTGAGTTTTTGCCGCAAACTCAGATTTTCTCATAACTATGTCTTTGCAACTTGAAGATGAAAACCTTTGATATTTCAAATATAGACAATTTGATCTTTCAGAAATAATAGTTTGAAATATCAAAGGTCTACGACATTGGATTGCAAAGATATAAGGATGGATAAATTTGAGTTTGTGGCAAAAACTCATTTCCTTAGTCTAGTTCTTACCAATTCTTCAAATTCAACGTTCTCAGATAGGCCCTTCAATATTTTAGCTTTATGTCATTTTTACTTTGCAACTCTTCTTATATCCTACCTTCCAAAACATCGTAGCCCGTAAAATTGTGAATGGTTGTCACATTTTGTCAACAATCTCTCTGTTTTTTTATTCACGTCAGGCGTGTGGGGAGTTGGATGAGTCTTTTTTGAGCCAGGATTCAACGTTCATAAACTGGTTCGAATCAATCGCACAACGGTTCAGTGAGATGTAAGATTGTAAATAAAAATATGGATAGTAAGATTTTTTTCATTATTTGCTTACATTAATTGTTTCAAATCTGATATTTACAAGAAATGCTTTAGCTTGAAGCTTAAAAACTGATCTATTTTTATTTATGATCTGAAAAAAGGAGAAATATAAAGGTTGAAGGACCAAGCCTTCTTGGCCCAGGATTTTCGGCTCCACCAGGAGGTATGGAGTACTTAGACAGGTAAACCATTCCTATAGGATTCAACTATAATTACGGTAAAAATCTGAAGAAAAAAAGATTTTTTATAATTATACAGATTTAAAGTAAGATTCATAAATTGATCATTTATAAAAGATTTGGGACTTTTTCTGCTTTTATCTTATCTAATTTCCTTCTGCCAAGTGTCAAACGAATCTATATAATGTCCATCTATCAGTGACATCTAGCTTTCAGAAAAAGCAACAACTGGGTAAGGCTCGGCGCTTCTAAAAGTATTCAGAGATACAGGGTGAGAGAGAGAAACTGGCAAACAAGAGGAACTTGAGACAAGGATGAATATCCCCAATATACACCCATGCGCACAAATGGAAAAAAATAAACCAACTATAACAAGAAACATGGAAGGCCTGCATTGATCTTTTAAAGCTGTATTAACCTGGAGAATGGAGATTTTTACCTAGCTGGATCCAGATTTTGCTACTGGCAGTTTTACACATATTCCTTAATAACAAGCCTGGTTAGCTGTTATTAAGTAACCGAACTTGTTGGAAAGACGTTAATTTTTTCTATTGAATCTGGTACTATGTGCAAGCATCAAGGGAGCTCAGAACAGTCAGGTTCTTATACAACTCTCTCCAGCTTCTTTTGGCTGAACAGAACCCTGTGTGGAGGAACATGGCAGTACACCCTACACGGGAAAAAAGGAAATAATAGTGCAGAGAAGTTAATTCGCTCTGATAATCGAGATCCATATAGTGCTCCACTAACTCTTCTATGGTTTGAAGAAACATTTTTTCAATCTGGACATTATCAGTCCATTACTCCAACTGATTCCAGCATTATAATGAAGCATTACAATAGGATGAATAACTCAACATATCGATTGTTTGAGTCTCAGGTTGCCAGGATGGCACTGAGATCCGTCAACTCAGATGTTGAGCAAATTCAACAGCCTGAGATCCATAGTTCTGCAATTATGCAAGTAACTCCAACCTTGCCCCAGGAGAGATTAGATCAAAACAAACCATCGACCCAGTGCAGAACAAAAAGAAAGTCCACAACAATTTTAGGTAATATGATGAAAAATATATTAATGCTTATAATAAACATTTGTTTCCAATGAATATTTCCTAAGTATTTCAATTTTTAGATAATTCCAGCCCCAAAAGAACTAAACTGTCGGATACAACAGTGTTGACTTTAAAAGTCAATATGATAAAATAAAAGAGATCTAACGGTATTTCTAATCTTTATTTATAAAAACAAAAGGTTATGAAATATTTTCCCGAGTGGGGCTTAAATTGGCTGGTATAGAAATTAATAAAGAAACTATAGACGAATATCGGTTGGAAAGAGTTTGTAGAGCTTCATGATGGTGGTGCAGATCATCAGATCTCTCTCTTCCTCTTTCTCTTGCCAGAAACAAGGAAAATGGAAACATAGAAAGTAGAATCCTGATAGGTTGTGCACCATGCACTTTGATACTGGTTTATACTCTGCCAGCTGCAAGGAAAAGATTGCTGTAGATGAGGCAATATCCTGAAGCACTGTGTCCGAGATGAACTTACAAGAATCAAGAATTCTTTTGTCAAAAATATCCACTCCTAGCCTAACCTTTCTATTCCCATTTGTCATTAGTGCGGTGAATTTTATTTTTTTCAACCTGTAAGAATATTGAGGAAATTGTGTTTGAAGCTAACCTTTAATAGTTGTTGAGTCAGACATTCCTGGAAGAAAACAATACTGAAAACTGCTAATACATCTGATCTCTACTCGCAAACAGTAACTTTCTATTATACTTAATTTGATATTTCTGGCGCCAAGATTTTAAATTAAAGAATCGTATGAAAAAGAAAATTGCCAAATAGAAAGCTGCAGCTCTGGGAAATATACGGAATATTAGAGCTAAACAAAAGCAGAAATATGTCTCAAAACTCTTATTTCCTTTGTCTACAAGGGATAAGAATGCGAATATCTACAAAAGAGTAACAGAAAACAGATGTATGATTAGATAAAAAGAAGATATAACAGTCGAAGGAAAAAATTCACTGCCTTTTTTTATTTTGTTAAAAAAATTACATTTAAAAATAAATTGTTAAGAATAATATCCATCTATAAAATGATTTTTTTAAATATAATGTCCCAACCTTATTTAAACGTTACACATTTTATTTTACAGGACTGTACTATCTTGGCACTATTACTGCTGGGCTATAGGTAGTAACGAAAAATATTGATAAATAAAATTACCCGAAGTAGAAGGTTTAAAAAAGTAACAATGCAAAATTAAGTGTTTCCAACTCGTGAATTAAGATTTCACTAAAAATGCTTGAATTCCATCAAGGAGACTGTAGACGTGATTTTAACTAACTCTCAAATTATAGTAGTTTTTAAACTGATTTTTTAAAATTGTGGGTTTCCTCTGCAAAACTTGCTGGCACATTTCTTCTTCAGAAGCAAGGAAGGAAGGATCACTTGAAATTACAACAGTCCCTTTGGAAAGTCAAGATTATTGTCAAAAAAAAACTTTTAATATTTTAAGCATTTTATTATTTTCAAGGATATGGAGGTGATGAAGATTTTGACCCGGTTCTTCGAGAAGGATGTGACAAGATCTTAGGACCAGCAGTTTTCAACACAGTTCAGGAAAGGTCCAGACATTTTTAAAGATTCAAAGCCTTATACAATTTTGAAATATAACGTTGCCATACAATTTATTTGTAAAGAAATTCTCAAATGGACGGACATGAGAAAAAGAAAAAGTATTTAACGAGAAAAGTTTCAAAAATTCCTGATAAATAAAAATTGAAATTCACATTGCTTTTATAACTAAGTAACAGTAATAAAGACGAGGTACATAAAGAAAAGTCATTTTTTTTTACACAGTTTTTTAACGTTACTTTTATTTTCTTTATTTACTAACATTTTTTAGAGCAAAAGAGTTGGGAGGAAGTGCAACATTTTTAACCGAATTCGGAACCTGTAAACCTAATGCAACACTAACTAACAGTACAGGTAAACTATACATTGTACATTTTGCAACGGTCAATTTGAAGTTTGTTTAAATAAAGTTGGAAAAACTTGGATTGTAAACAATCTCAAAGACACTTACAACAGGTTCTAAAATCTTTAAGAAAAGATTCAAAGTCATTCAATGAAATCAAATCCACGTTAAAGTACAAGTTTTGTTCTGTTACAGTTTTAAAAAGTTTTTTTACTGTTTATATTTTTTAATTTAAAACAAGAAGTAAAAAACCGTCCGCATACTTTAATTTAGAATAGTTAAGGCTACATTTTTATAACCCAGTTTGAAATATCAGAGGTCTACAACATCAGGTTGCAAAAAACTCAGTTCCTTTAAATACTAAACCCCTACAAATAAGTTTTAATTTTATATGATTATTGATTTTATTCCTATTAGAACATGTCACACTTTTGAGAGTCACGGAAGTTCGTAGTAAGATTTTGACTCCACTGGAGACCACCGGAGGGAATTCTTTTTCACTGGAGGGGTTTGAAAAAATGCTTTTTATAATTCAAAACTTTACGCAGGGTGATTTACATTCCACTGGAGGGATTCAGATGTCCTTCCTGGAGGGTTAAAATTCCCCTGGAGGGATTCAGTTATCCTTCCTAGGGGTTTATAATTCCCCTGGAGGGATTCAGATATCTTTCCTGGGGATTTATAATTCCACTGGAGGGATTCAGTTATCCTTCCAAGGGGTTTATAATTCCACTGGAGGGATTCAGATATC